GAGCAGCGGGAGGGGGAGAGCAGCAGGAGTGGGAGGGGGAAGAGGAGCAGCAGCAGCGGGAGTGGGAAGAGGAGCAGCAGCAGAAGTGGGAGCAGCAGCAGCAGCAGCAGGAGTGGGAGGAGCAGCAGCAGCAGAAGTGGGAGGAGCAGCAGCAGCACGGGAGGGAGAGGGGGAGGCAGGAGTGGTGGAGTGGTGCGGGGTCAGCAGCAGCAACTAATGCACAAACAACAAGGAGCAGCGCCAGCTGCTCGCAGCAGCAGCTGCTGCTGCTGCAGCAGCTGCTGCTGCTGCTGCTGCTGCTGCTGCTTACTGATGTATTTGCGCAGCAAAGCCTCGATGTGCTTCGGGCCGTACTTGCCCTTCAAGACCAGCTGCCCATCGCCGGCTATGGAGCCCTCAGTGCCTAAACCCCACAAGCAGCAAAACCTGTTTGCTGCTGCTGCTGCTGCTGCTGCTGCTGCTGCAGCAAAAAGGGCTTTTGCTGCAGCAAGCAGCAGATAAAGCTCCTGTTGCAGCAAGCAGCAGCAACAGGTGCCTAAACCCCACAAGCAGCAAAACCTCTTTTTGCTTCTGCTGCTGCAGCAGCAGCAACAAGGGCTTTTGCTGCAGCAAGCAGCAACTGGCTTTTGCTGCTCGTGGGGTTTAGGCGCCCTTCGCTTCAAACCCTAAACCCTCATTCTAAACCCTAAACCCTCATCTTAAACCCTAAACCCTCATTCTAAACCCTAAACCCTAATTTAGCGGATCAAATGACTTCAGAACTCACCCAACTCCGCCAACACAAACTGAAGGACGTGCTCGCTGGGTCTGTGCATAATTCCGCAGATGTCTTTGAAGTTAATCCAGGCCACCTAAAAACAAAATAAATAATAAATAAATAAATAAATAAATAAATAAATAAATAAAATAAATAAATAAAATAAATAAATAAAATAAATAAATAAATAAATAAAATGAATAAATAAATAATAAAATGAAGCAGCAGCAAAAAAGAAACGAAAAGAGCCGAGCGGCAAAAGGCTCAAAGAGGACGCGTGCAGTGTATGTACACTTAAGCTCAAAAGCCCCAAAGAACTGCTGCTGCTGCTGCTGCTGCTGCTGCGGATGCCGCTGCTGCTGAGCAGCAGCAGCAGCAACAGCAGCAGCAGCAGCAACAGCAGCAGCAGCAAAATAAATCAATGGCAATTTAAGAAGTTAGCAAAAAGCAAGATATCGAGAAGCAGCATTTTAATGGCCAAAACAAAACCAATGAAGACGAAATATTGGAACCAAAATTAAACTCTTGAACTAATTTAAATTAATAATTAAATTAACAAATTAAAATCAATTTAAATAATAAATAAATAAATAAATAAATAAATAAATAAATAATAAATTGTAAATAAATAAATAATAAATAAATTAATTAATTACTTTCTTTGATCCAACGCGAACAACTTGGGGCGGTTTTATGGTGTAGCGTTTTGAGCCCGCCAAGTCGGGGTTGTTCCTAACAATGAGTTCTTGAATGCGTTTAAGCATCTGAATAAACAAATAAATAAATAAATAAATAAATATAAATAAATAAATAAATAAATAAATAAATAAATAAATATAAATTTAAATTAAAAATAAACAAAATGACGCGAAAGGGCTCGCAAATTCGAGCAGGAGGGACCCCAGAGGAGCCGCGCAGCGATGCAGCAAACCCTAAACCCTAAACCCTAAACCCTAAACCCTAAACCCTAATTTAGCGGTTACGGCGGAGCAGTACCTCTTCGTAGCTGTAAACGTGGCCCCGCACGAAGAGCTGCCCGGAGCCGTCCACAAAGGCCTCAGAAGCAGCCTCAGCAGCTGACAGACACAGCAGCAGCAACGCATTACACACTGCTGCTGCTGCTGCTGCTGCTGCTGCGGTTCGCACTGCTGCTGCTGCTGCTGCTGCTGCGGTTCGCACTGCTGCTGCTGCTGCTGCTGCAGAGGGGCAGTGGCTTCTCTCACCTTGGTCTTCTGGTTTTTTTTCTTTTTTCTTTTTTCTCCTTTCACCGAAGTCGAATGCCTGGGCCGCCGGTTGCTGCAGACACACAAGGAGGTGGACGTAAACCCGAGATGCGCGTTCTTTTCAGCGTCCCACAGCAGCAGCAGCAGCGCAGCAGCAGCAGCAGCAGCAGCGCAGCAGCAGCGCAGCAGCAGCAGCAGCAGCAGCGCAGCAGCAGCAGCAGCAGCAGCAGCAGCAGCAGCGCAGCAGCAGCAGCAGCGCAGCAGCAGCAGCAGCTGCTGCTGCTGCGCCGAGAAGCAAACTTGTGAGGTGCAGCAAACGGAGCAGCAAAGTGGTCTGCGCAGCGCTGCGGCGGCTGCTCGCGCTGCGCAAGGCCGGGGGAGAAAAGGGAGGGAAAGAAAGCATTAAAAGGAAGAAAAGGCGAAAAAATAATTAAATTAAATCTTAAAAAGAGGCAAAAAGCTGCAGCAAAGCGCAGCGAGCTGCAGCAGCAAATCTGCAAGAAATACCTCTGCGGGCTGAGCTGCGCTGGCCGCAGGCGGGGCCCCCTCGTCCTCCCTCTTTTCTGCAATATCAGTAGCCGCCATTTTCAATTTTTAATTAAATGAAAGCAAACAAAAAGCGTTTTTGGCAGCGGCAGCCGCGAACTTGCGGTGTACGTACACCCCAGCACTGCCGCAGGCTGATCCCACGCATGCGCCTGCAGCCGCCAGCCCCGCTGGCCGCGGGCTTGGCCTTCTCTGAATGATTTTGCATTAAAAAGTGGAAATTATATTTTAAATTAGTTTTTAAAATGCATTTAACTGACAGAACTTCAAAAAAGCCCCTTCTGCGGCTGCTGCAGAGCTCAGTTCAACCAGAGGTGGGGCCAAGGAGGTCCTGAAGATCAGCCAAGCGGGAAAGCTGTTCCAAATAATGCAGCATTTGTTGCAAAATAAAACAAATTTTGTTTTTTATTTTCATTTTCTTCCATGAAAAAGAGTTCAGGGGTCTTCCAGTCCTCCAGAATAACTCAAAGGCTCTGCATGCGTTCTTAATAACTTTTATTTCACTAAATTTGAACTTTTGAAAAAAAAGACAAAACGCAAAAGTGCGCAGTATTTGGGGTGTCTGGACACCACGCTAGCCACTGCGCATGCAATTTCGTTGTCAAGACCAGCTTCTATCGCCAGAAGGGTTTAGGGTTTAGGGTTTAGGGTTTAGGGTTTAGGGTTTAGGGTTTGGCTGAGCCCCCTGCACACACTGCAACAAAGCTTTTTTGCTTCTTCAGGCGACACACACAAATGCTCAGCAAATAATTGAACAAATAAAACAAATAAATAACAAATTACAAAACTTTCAGGGCCTCTAATTCTATCTTTTCTCAACTTCTCATTCCCAAATGCAAAAGTACCCTTTTATTTCCCAAGTGGCCCTGAAACTCTGCTCTTTGGGGGCCCCCCGGGGCCCTGAGGGGCCCCAGGGGGCCCCAGGGGGCCCCCACAGCAGCAGCAGCAACTGCTGCTGCTGTGGGGCCCCACAGCGCTGCAGCGGGGGGCCCCACAGCAGCGGGCGTGGGGTTTTCTGATCCAGTAAAATGTCTTTTGGATATTTTTGAAAAGTTAAAAAAAGATAAAGTAAAATAATTGGAAAATTTTGTTTAAAAAAGTATATTTTGTGTTGCTGCTCTTCAGGCAGCAAAGGGCGCAGCTAGGGCAGCAAAAGGACAGCCAAATAACCGGGGGAAATCTTTAACAGCAGCAGTAGCAGCAGACAGCAGCAGCAGCAGCAGAGACAGCAGCAGCAGCAGGGACAGCAGCAGCAGCAGTAGCAGCAGCAGTAGCAGCAGCAGAGGGAGCAGCAGCAATAGCAGCAGATAATTGGACGGCTTGGTAGGCGCCCAGAGTAGCTGCTGCAGACAGACACACATTGCTGCTGCTGCTGCTGCTGCTGCTGCTGCAGACTATTAGCAGCAGCTAGCAGCGCGGGACTTTAACGCGAAGTTAAACTTTTTGGGAAACGTTTGGCCACGGAAAACTGAACAGAAAAGCATAAAGCATTTTTTGTTTCTTTTGAACTTTTTGAAAAATCTTTTTTTAAGAAAAATAAAAATCTTAAATTGGGTTTTTCTGGTTTTTCTTTTTTAGCTCAAAAGCCCTCAAGCTGCGCCCCACAGCTGCGAAGTGCTGCAGCAAAAGGCTCTTGAAAAGCGTATTAAAGAAAGTGCATTAAATGACTTTTTTCGGAGAAAATAATAAATTAAAATGGCATTTTGAGCTGCAAATGAAGCAAAAGATATTTAGACGGGGCTTGGTTTGCTGCAGCAGCAAAAGCAGCGCAGCTGCGGCTGGGATTCGTGCTGCAGTTCAAAACTGCTGCTGCAGCAGACTTTGCTGGAAAATCTTTACTTGCATGCATGCGCAGCAAATTGAGTGCAGCAGGGGCTTTTCTTATGTCTTTCTGCAGCAAACTTGAGAGCAGCAGAGCTTTTAAGATGTCTTTTGCTGCTAAAACTAACTAGAAAGCCTTAAAGAATCTGGATTGCTGCAGAACCCGCAGAAAAAGACAAAAGGGGAAATTGACTGGCGCTTAAGGCTGCCGGGCTGAAGGCCGCAGCAAACAGACGCAAAATCCTTTTTTTAAAACTGTAAAAAGATAAAAATACAATTTGAATTAATCCATTATTGACTGGTTCAGATATTCCCGAGATTTAGCTGGGTTTCAACTGGTCTGTTGAGCCCCAGCCCGAGTCCGGCGAGAGCGCCGCAGGAATATGCCAAAGGTTTCTGCGACATTTCGCAAATTTATTCTTTCAAAAGATATTAAAGCTATCGAGTATGCCATTTGCTTTCATAAAAACTGAAATTTAGATGAATTTCCGACAAAAATGGTAAATCGGTAGTTCTGAAATCGAAAGCAGTGAGCTGGGTCACCGAACACCGCGGGAGTCCACAAGAGGCAAAGGCCGGAGCTTAGAGAAAGTAAAAAAATAAAAAAAAAGATATTTCAATTCATTAAAGAGGAATTAGCGCATGCATAATTTTAAAATATTTATTTATTTGCATTCGGGGAAGCCGGAAACGGGGCTGCATGCGCAGGGGCTGGGTTGGCTTGACGTGCATGTGGGTGCCCACAAACGGGATGTGCGGGATCTTCGGAAGTTCTTCAAGTTTTTTCTTTTTGCTTTGCACGAGGAAGACGCTCGACGTTTTGCTTCGAGTTGACCGTGAAAAGTAATTCAAAATGTCTGACGTGGAGAGCGCCGGCGCCCCTGAGGAAGTTCAGGTCGAGCCTGAGGAGGAAGACGTCAAGGACCTGAAAACCGCCATTAAGAGGGTAAATAGGTCAAATACTTTTGCTAAATGCTTCAATTTTCTTCTTTAGTCCTTTGCTGAATGTGGATTTCCCCCTTTTTCTCAACTGCGTTCTGCCAATTCCCCACACCGAGAACCTGAACAAGACCCGTAGCTGCATGCTCTCGGGCTCCGTGTGTTGTCTAACCTTCTGTGACTTTCATTTTATTTTATTTGACCCTTTTTTGCTCGGATCAGAGCTCGTTTCGTTGCGCTTTCCACTGTTTCCGCGGCTTTGCAAGTTCTGTAGGGGTGCGGGGTTGCGGGTGTTCGCGTTCGCATTTTGCGATTTTATCCGTCACAAAGTGGTTTATTTTGACTATTTAATGTTTTATTTGCCATTTATTCGCAAACATGTTCGGTTTCTTCTGAGATCTGGCACTTTCGTGACTTCTGCACCCGAGGCGCTGCGTGTCGCCTTTGCAATTCAGGTTCTGAAGAACGCCCTGATCCACGACGGGCTGGCCCGCGGGCTGCACGAAGTGGCGAAAGCTTTGGACTCGAAGAGGGCTCAGGCCTGTTTTTTGGCGGAGAGCTGTTCAGAGCCGGCCTACAAGAAGCTGGTGGAGGGGCTCTGCAAGGAGCACGGGATTCCGCTGATCGAAGTGGCGGACAGCAAGGAACTGGGCCAGTGGGCCGGTCTTTGTCGCATTGACAACGAGGGCGCGGCTCGCAAAGTCGTGGGGGCCTCTTGTGTTGCAGTGACGGACTTCGGCGAGCAGAGCGAGGCTCTGATCTTCTTGCAAAACCACATCAAGTCGCTTTCCCAGTAGAGCCCGCCCGCCTGCTGTTCGCGCGCGGAAAGCTCCAAACCAAACTCTTTCCAAAAGTTCTAATTGCAATTTCGTGACAATTTTCTGTTTTGTGCCGATTTGCTTTAGAGTTTAGAGTAGAAAGCCCGCAGCTGCTGCGACAGCCACGCACTGCAGCAGCAACTCTAGCAGCAGCTCTTTCGACTTGTCGAGATTCTGCGCTTTCTGCGGCCAATATCCCAAAGATCTAGCCAAGTTTATGGGAATTAATGCATTAATTCCCGAAATTTATTCCGATATCCACCAAGATAAGCATGAAGTCCCACAGAGCTTGCGTGCTGCAGCTTGCTGGGAGCTGGACAGTGCTGGACAAGTGAATGCGCAAGGGCGCTGAGGTTTTCCTGATTAATGGCTCAGTAGGAGCGCAGTTTGTGAATGGCTCGTGAGTTGTACTTCGTTTCATTTCTGATTTGCTGCAGTTTGATGCAATTTTCTGCTGTTGTGCTTCGTTTCATTTCTGATTTGCTGCAGCTTGATGCAACTTGCTGCAGGGTTTCTTGCAATGAATGGAGCGGTGCCGTCTGCCCGGAAGGCTCAGCTAACCTGCTGCAGCTCGCCGGCTGCGCTGTTCATGTCTTTCTTTATCTGTTGTCCAGCACAGAAGAGGCAGCTGATGTTTTCTGCTTTCATGCGCCGTCTGGCTTGTTGGCCAGCCAGGTGAGTAGAGGTGAATAGACAAGCAAATGCGGCCGTTCTACTGAAGTTTCTGGACATAGACACCGACAAAAAAGACGAATGGTCCTAAAAATAAAATAAATAAGTGAATTGGTCGCAGGGCGGGCTGCCATTCGTCACGAAAAGTAACAAATCTGAAGGCAGCGACGTGAATTGCAAGCTGTGCTGCAGCACCTGCTGCTGGGTGTATTGAATGAAGTCTGTGGTGCTGCCTACTGCATCGACAGAGCTGCTGTAGCGCAGCTCCTTGCCTCCCAAGTATTCAAAAGTCCTTTTCATAATGAAAGCTTTCTATGGGAATTGGGAAGCTAAAGACGCGTGGGCAAGAAACGTGCATATTCCCTGGACGAAGTGACAACGAATACTAGCTGGTGTGCGAGCCGCTGACTGCGGCAAATGCACACGCTGCTTCCTGATTGCACACTGCCTTGTTGCGCAATTATGTGCAATAAAACATATTTGATGTTGCACAGATGGTGTGGAAAGAGAGTATTAAATCATTGAAGGCACCGCGCTAGCACCGCTGTCTGAAAGCTGAGGCGTACTGGTTTCGTACGCTCGCAGCGAACGAGCCACCAAGCCATAAGACACGATGAGCGGGAGCAGGAAACAAGGCGTTTCCTTCCAATTTTAAATTGTAAAGGAGCAAATATGTTAAATTGGGAAAATATTATGAGTTTTCCTTTGCTGTTGAGAGGAATCGAACGGCTGCGCGCACACAGGGAGGCCGCCTGACCGCCAGCGGCATGCGGTGGTTCGTGACCACAGGAACGAATTCGAGCAGTTGTTCTTGCGTCCAGTCTTATCGCAGCGTTTTTGTTTTTGCAGATCGCGTTTGTGTTTATCGAATAAGTTGTCTTGGCAGTTCCGCGGAGCGCCGTTGGCTTGAGATCGATCCAGCGTAACCGCAGCGCGGTTTCAGCATTTGGCGTTTCCTGAACGGACATAGCGCTGTCTGTCGGTGCGCGCGGTTTCGAAGTTCTGTTTTGACTTTTTCTGACAAAACTTGCGCTGGCGGAGCCGCTTGGCACGCAGAGGGGAGGCGTGCAGAGGACTTGTAGGCTCGGAGTGGTCCTGCGTTGATTGGCGCGCGTTCAGGTCGAGTTTGTGCAAAAGCGCGGCACAATGGCTTGCAGCTGCACCCGGCCCAACTACAAGGGCCCCGGAGTGGGAATATGGGCTTTGGCTCTGTCTTTGGAGTTCGCGTTGGGGGTTTTGATGGTTTATTTGGGCTCGGACGCGGCGCCGGACCCGGTGAGCAGCCTGGAGAACTTGGACGGAAACTTGAAGGATCTGCTGCTGAACGGCAGCGCGGCGAAGGCCGTGGCCATTATGGGGTGGTTTCACTTGGTTTTGGCCGCGGCTTGCGGCGTGTTCGTCACTCTCGGGCTTTTCGTCTGCGGCGTCTTCCTCTGCCCCCTCTGCATCTTGGGTTGGGTTCAAACGGCTTTCTGCGTGATTTCCACCTTCGTCACTGCAGCATATTTGCGCAAGTACCTCGACGTTGCTGCAGCGGCAGTCACGGGCGACGCCCCCGAGGAGATCTCCGCAGATGTCTTCTTTGCACAACTCAACAGCCCCAGTCTTCTCCTCTCCTCCGTCCTTTCCTTCGCCTCCGCCGTCGTCTTGTCCAGAGCTGCCAAGGTCAGCAGCGGCGAGTCCGTCCCGGGAGCTGCCCTGTAAGTCCCCCGCTGCTGCTGCTGCTGCTGTTGCTGCTGCTGCTGCTGTTGCTGCTGCTGCTGCTGTTGCTGCTGCTGTTTTGCTGCTCCGTCTGCGTCGCGGCTGCTGGCTGGTCCGCGCCGCGTGCAGCAGCCGCAGCCTCCGCCGCGCGCCCGAAAGCTGCTGCTGCGCGAACCCCCCGCTGCTGCTGCTGCTGCGCGAACCCCCCGCTGCTGCTGCTGCTGCTGCTGCTGCTGCTGCTGCTGGCAGGATGGTGTGGAGCATGGGTCTGTACGCGACGATAGGGGCGTTTCTGGGGGCTGGGGGCGGCGGCGTGGCGCCCACGCCGGCGCTCACGACGCTGTGGGTGGCGCTGTGCGTCTTGGGGGCGATCTTGATGAACATTCGGGCTTGTTGCTGCGAAAAGATTTGCAATATTCTTATGATAGCCCTCTTCGGCGTGGGGGCTGTGCTGGCCTTCATAACTGCTGTTGTCTTCGCCGAAATCTACGCAGCTGTGGTGGCCGACCCGCTGGCCAACGCCGAACACGCGCGGCTCTTCGTTGTCATGCAGTCCGGCATAGGCCTCGTAGTGGCTGCAGTGCTTTCGCTGGCGGCCTGCGTGACTTCGCTGCTGGCCACGGCCTACGCGGCGCGTTCGCTCATTTGCTGCGGCGACGGCGTCAGCAGCAGCTGAGTGCGTGCATGCGCAAGTGCATGCATGCGTGCATGCATGCGTGCATGCATGCATGCGTGCGGAGTGCATGCGCAGGGGCGTGCATGCGACGCGCAGCCGCGGCAGCGTAGCGTCTGCATGCATGCGAACTGCAGCGAACGCGGCACGCCGCGGGCTGCCGCCAAGCTGCACACTTGCACAGTGCTGGCCCGCGGCGCGCAGATCTACTCCCAAAGCTCTCTCCTAGCCAGTTAAAACAATAAATTAAATTAATTAAATGAGTTTTAATTGTAGCTGGGCTCTTTGCAAGCCGGCGAGGCCCCGTTTCCCGCACAACTCAGAGGCGCCCGGCCCCCCGCGACCTGGCCGCGAGCCGCCGCCCGGTGCTCCATTTAAAAGGCACCGAAGGAACTTCTTTGTTTTTAAATTGTCGAATATTTAGCACTTGCAAACCCACGGAAAAGTCCGCAGGGAAGGTGCAGGGGCGCGGGACGGAAAATGAAGTGGAAATTCACACGAGACGGACATTAAACTGGAACTCTAGCAAATAGATAAAAGCTGAAGTCGACAAGGAGAATGACAGAAACTGAAAAATAGCAGAGGCAGCAACTTTGGCAAAGTGCAACTCGTGGTTTCGCGGAGTTCGCGCAAATTGAACTGCCTGTATTCTGTACAGCGCAGTGCGCCAAATGCAGCTTGCGATCTAGAACTCGAGTCCAATAAATTCACCCTTTTAGCTGCTGCATGTTTAGGCCAAAAGGTCCCAAATAATGTGCAAATAGTACTTGTGCATTAGTAGGGGTTTCCCGGCCTCAGAAGCGCCGCCTCCAGCCTCTCCCCCGTCACCGCGGGGGGCAGCGCCGACGGCAAATAACGCGAAAAATGCTTGTCAGGGACATCTTCGTATTTGAAATTCTCAAAATAAGGACTGTGGGTGAAACTGGAAGCACAAAAACACACTTAAAACCCACTTTAAGCCGGCCAGCGCAACTTGAATTCGCTGCGCCGTTTAGCTGCTGCAGTCACAGGCGCAGCCACTCACGCCTGCAGCCAGCAGGCGTGTTTCCACTCAATGTGGTGGCGAAATGTGGATTTGAATATATGCTCAATATATACTAAATACATATTAACTTTACATTAAATATAGATTAAATATATATTAAATACATGTATTCAAATACATACATTTATGCATGCATGCTGAGATCTGTTCGTGCCTGCTGAGTTTAACTGCTGGTGTGTTAAGTGGGAGCATTACTTGCACGGAGTGTACGTGCGTGTACCTGCTACAAATACGAATGTGCATGCATTCATAAAGACAATATGTGAATATGCTTTCTACTTTCACGAACTTGTGCATATTTCATGTCTAAATAAGTGCAAGCAAGCATGTGCATGCATGTGCATGCAGCACTCCATATGCATGCACACAGACGTGCGCACTGCATGCATGCGCACAGCAACTGCTGCGCAAATCGCAAGCGAAGCTGCACTTCTTAGAAGCATTTCCCCCGCTTGAAGGCTCACTTTGGAGGCAGCGTCTGCTCGAGCTCGTTGTCATCTGGGTAAGCACTTTGCCGCTTGAGCCACTGCTCGAAGTCCCACGCCCCGTCGTCCCACTCCCAGGCCTCTTCGCCCACGGCCACCCCCACCTGCACTCCCCCGAATGCGTCTAAGACCACGTCGGTCTGCGGGTTGAAGCAAATGGGGCTGCCCGCTTCCGGCTGCACTGCGGGCGGCAGCGGGGGCTCTTCGCTCACCTCGTAGCTGCCTTTGTCCAGCAGTCTGCGGCAATTAAAAGTCCAAACGAAGGCTTTTTAGGTTTTAGAGTCTAGGGTTTAGCAACTGCGGGCTTGGGAGGCCCGCGGTGTCTTTTCGCAGTGCTGCTGTGGCTCTTGCGCGCCCTGCGCTGCGGTGTACGTACACCGCACGTACACCGCAGTGTACGCACACCGCAGTGTACGTACACCGCAGTGTACGTACACCGCAGTGTACGTACACCGCAGTGTACGTACACCGCAGCGCAAGCCAACACCCACACGCACAGACGCACCGGCAAAAGCTGTAGCAATAAGCCACACATTCTGCAGACTCTCTCCAAACAGGACCGACGCAAACCCTCGAGGGTTTCGCAAGCAGCTCAGCACAGGACAACGCCGCGGCCTGCGAGCCCCGCCGCCGGCCCCTACGCTTTGCCCCCTGCTGCTGCTGCTGCTGCTGCTGCTGCTGCTGCTGCTGCTGCTGCTCGAATAAAGGCAAGGCAGGGGCCCCCTGCACCCACAACTTGATGCGGAAGGGCAAGTGCCAGCCAGGGCGGGTGACCAGCTTGAGGGAGCAGAAGCCGGGGAGGGAGCTGGGGGTCCCATCGGGGTAAAACCAAAGCTGCAGCAAAAAAAAAGAAAGTTAAAGAAAATAAAACAAAAAAAAAATAAAAAAAGAGCTAATTAATTGCGCGAAAAACGAAAAACTTCAGAGATAAACTGCCACGGAAGCCCAGAAAAAATGCACTGTTCTCTCTACTTAATTCAGTGCATGCAGCCCCGCAGGAAGTTTCTGGAGCCAAACACAGTCAGAGAGGCCCATTTGCATGCAAAGCACTGCATGCAGCACTTTGCATGCAAGCCCATTCGCATGCGAAGTGCTGCATGCAGCAGGGGCCCCGCTGCATGCAGCCGCAGCGGGAAGCCCCGAAGGGGCCCTCGAGGGGCCCCTGCGAGGGGGCCCTCCGGGGGGCCCCCAGGGCCCCAAAGGGGGCCCCTGGAGTGAGGAGGGTACCTGCATGGGGTCGACGCCCCCCAAACAGAAACATTCACTTTTGATGGGGGGCCCCCCTCGGGGGTGTTTCTTGGCCAGCCACGGGACCCAGTAGAGGGCCCACGAGAAGGAGGCCCCTGCACTTGCTGCGTAGGGGGGCCCCTCCACAGCCCCGAAGAACTGGGGATCGAAATAGTTGTCGCTGTTGCGGTTGGGATCGGCCAAACCCGTCTCCAGGAAGGACCTGCAGCGACACCCCACAAACCCCCGGGTGTACGTACACCCCACAGGCCCCGGGTGTACGTACACCCCACAGGCCCCGGGGTGTACGTACACCTCGAGCCAGCCCCCGCATGCGCCCACAGCTGCCGCGCGGAAAGAAGACTGCAGCTGCGACTAACGAAAGGGGCTCCGGTCCTCAACTAGCTAACCAGCTAGCCAGCTAGCTAGCTGGCCAGCTAGCTAGCTAGCTAGCTAGCTGGCTAGCTAGCTGGGAGGGCCTTGAAAACGAACATGTATGAACTGCAAGAAGCTGCAGATCTGCCTCAGAGGCAGCAGCGCTGAAGAAGCAAAAGTGAGGCCACGAGAAGCGGCTCAAGAGAGCAGCAGCAGGGCCAGCAACAAGAGCAGCTGCAGCAGCACAAGAAGCAGCAGCAGCAGCAGCAGCAGCAGCAGCAACGCCTCACCGTTTGTAATGATTTTTGTCCTGCAGGGTGGGGTGTTCTCGCGTCCAGTCTATAGAGTCCACCAGCTCCTGCGCAGCAGCAGCAACGGGAGCAGCAGGAGCAGCAGAGGCAACAGTAACTGAGGGCAGCAGAGACTGCGGGAAGCACCGCAGCAGCAGCACGAGCAGCAGCAGCACAAGCAGCAGCAGCTGCTGCAGCAGCAACTAGGGGCTGCACGCACCTTGAAACGGTCGTTAGGGGCCCCCAGGGGGCCCCTCGGTATGTCCCCCTGTACAGAGTCCATGCCCCATTGCTGCCGCTGCTGAGGCCCTGCAGCAGCACATTGCCCGCAGCAGCAGCAACTGCAGCAGCGACTGCAGCACATGCTGCAGCACATGCTGCAGCAGCAGCTGCGGGAGGAACTGGAGCACCAACAGCAACAGCTGCAGCAGCAGCAGCAAATGCAGCACGTGCTGCAGCAGCAGCTGCAGCAGCAGCTGCAGCAGCAGCTGCAGCAGCAGCAGCAGCAGCAGCAGCTGCAGCAGAACTGCGCGCGGAGGTCACCTGAATCGGACTCTCTGCGCTCGCGCTCCTTTTGTCTTCCAGTTCTAAAAAAAGGGTTTTTTGGATTTAAATATGAGGGGGCCCTATTGGCCACAAGTCCGGGGGCCCCCAGGGAGCCGTGGGGGCCCCCCAGTTCAAACTCGGGGGCCCCGAAGTCCCCAGCAGCAGCGGGTGCTCTGAAGCCTGCAGTATAAACACGCGGTCTGGGTAAATCGGGGGAAATACGAGAAAGCCATCATTGATGGGTTCGTAGCGAACGCCTGGCCCGAAGTAGGTCTCGTAGTCGAAGCTGCGAAACACGTTCATTCCAGCAGCAGCAGCAGCAGCAGCAGGAGCCGCAGCAGCAGCAGCAGCAGCAACAGCGGCCCCCGTTGCAGCAGGAGCTGGTGTGGCCGCTGCTGCTTCCGCAGCAGACGTGTCGGCACTCTCCGCCGGACCCACTTTGCTGTCCCCCTCTTTCGTAACGTTGCTGCTGCTGCTACTGTTGCTGCTGCTGCTACTGTTGCTGCTGCTGCTACTGTTGCTGCTGCTGCTGCTGCTGCTAAGGGACAGCAGGAAGTCCACGGGGTCCGCCGGCGGCTCCTCCAGTGGGGGTCTGCCGAAAGAAGGCGGCTCGAAGGAAAGAGCCAGCGACCTGCAGCGGCTCAGCAGCAGCAAGCAGCAAGGTTATCCGCAGCAGCAGCAGCAGCAGCAACAGCAGCAGCAGCAGCAGCAGCGACGGTAGCGGCAGATGCCGCCGCAGCATAAGGTAACTGGCTGCCCAAGTTGGGAGGCACAGCAGCAGCAGCAGCGGAAAGACTGGTTGCAGCAGACACTTTCACACACTGCAGCAGGAGCAGCTGCAGCAGGAGCAGCAGCAACAGCGGCTGCTGCTGCAGCAACAGCAGCAACAGCAGCAGCAGCTCACCTGTCGTAGCCGCGCATGATGTCCTGGTCCCCTAGCGGCTCAGCAGCAAAAGGATTGGCGCCTCGGAACACAGAGGAGTCCAACACAAAAGCTGTCTTGGCTTCTTCTTCTGCCCTCTTTGCTGCTGCTGCTGCTGCTGCTGCTGCTTCCGCTGCTGCTGCTTCTGCTGCTGCTGCTGCTGCCGCTTCTGCTGCCGCCGCTTCTGGTGCTGCTGCTTCTGCTGCTACTGTTCCTGGTGCTGCTCCTTCTGCTGCCTCTGCTTCTGCCGCTGCTGCTGCGGTTTCTGCCGCTGCTGCTTCTGCTGCTGCTCCTGCTGCTGCTGCTTCTGCTGCTGCTGCCGCTGCAGCTGGTGGCTCTGCGTCAGGCCCAGCAGCTGCTGCTGCTGGTGCGCTGCAGCCATTTCCTGCATTTAGCTGCGTGTGGTGAAAGGCCCTCCCTGGGCTGCCTTTTGCTGCAGCAGAATAAGCAGCAGCAGCAGCAGTTGCTGTTGCTGCTGTTGCTGCTGTTGCTGCTGTTGCTAAGCGTGCTGATGAGGGTCCAAGGAAGTAACTACAGCGCTTTGGTAGACGGCTTCTGGCTGCTGCTCCTGCCGTTGCTGCTGCTGCTGCTGCTGCTGCTGCTGCTGGGGGCGGCAGGAATGCTTGCTGCACCCATTTCCCTCTTGCTGCTGCAGTTGGACTACTGATGCCCGTGGAGGCCCCCCATTGCTGCTGCTGCTGCTGCAGTGGGATTCGCGCAGCAGCAGAAATATCTGGCGAGCAGCACCAGGTGAGGACCAGCAGCAGCAGCAGCAGGGTTGGCTGCAGCAGCCGCATCGTTGCCGGAGCAGCCGCCCAGCCCGCTGCTGCTGCTGCAGCTGGCCTTGTTGCTGCTGCAGCGGTTGTCGCTGCCGCAGCAGCAGCAGCTGCTGCTGCTGCGGCAGCTGCTCCAAACACTGTCGGGCCGAGAAGTGGCAGCGGCGCAGGGAAAGAGCCCCTGCATGCCGGGGCCCCAAGCTCACGGCCTAGGCCTCAACTTGTGAGCTGCAGCTGCGTCTATTTTGTTCAAAATGGACAAAAAATAATAATAAAAGAAATTAAAATATAGAAAATGGTCCTAGAAGGCAAATAATGCGGGGCCTCGGGCCCCGCAGACGACAGCGCCTCACTGAGAGGGGCCCCCCTGAGGGGCCCCCCATGAGACAGGCGATGGCCTGCAGCTTTTCAGTACCTTTTATGGGATTTACGCAGCTATAATTGCTGTATGACTTTAAAATAACAATTTAATTTAAAATTTTTGCTATTTAAAGATATCTGTTGATACTTCGAACACAATCCTGGCGGCAGAACGCCGCGTGCCTTGGGGGCCCCAACGGGGGCCCCCCAGCAGGGGGGCCCCCAACCCCACCAATACACCCATTTCTTGGAGCTCCGAGCAGACTGCGTTTAATTGTAGAAATAGCTTTTTATTTTTTGTTTTGGATTAGTTTAGCGTCATTTGATGGCCCTCGGCTTCGTGTTGAACTGCTTGAGGTGTACATACACCCCGCGCCAGAGACTGCAACCCAGCGGAGATGCTTCCCCTTCGAACTCAGAAAACTCCAGAGGCCCATTAGGGCCCCCAGCTGTCGATTTGGGGGTTGGGGGCCTCCCTTGTCTGCTGCTGCTGCTGCTGCTGCTGCACTGTGCGTGAAATGCAGCAGCAGCAGCAGCAGGGCATGCGCGGGACGGCCTGCAGGAAACGCCTTGCGAACAGAGAGCAGCCGCAGCAGCGAGGCAAGCTGCTGCGGCGGCAGCAGGAGCCGCTGCAGCAAAAGGCACAGCAGCAGCAGCAGCAGCAGCAGCAGCAATGGGAGAGGTTCAGCCTCCTGACTGTTCCATTTGCTTCGAAGCAGCAGTGACGGACCTCGCCGCTGTTTCCTGCGGCCACGTCTTTCATCTAAAATGGTGAGACAGAGGCAGCAGGGGGCCCCCAAGAGGGGCCCCCAAGAAGGGCCCCCAAGAGGGGCCCCCAAGAGGGGCCCCCAAGAGGGGCCCCCAAGAGGGAACCCCAAGAGGGGCCCCCAAGAGGGGCCCCAAGAGGGGCCCCAAGAGGGGCCCCCAAGAGGGGCCCCTAAAAGGGGCCCCTAAAAGGGGCCCGCCCCCAGGAGGGTCCTCCAATAGGGGCCCCCAAGAGGGGCCCCCAAGAGGGGCCCGAAGAGGGGCCCCAAGAGGGGCCCCCAAGAGGGGCCCCCAAGTGGTTTGGGGCCCGTGCAGGGCCCCGGGGTTTCCCAGAAAGCTGCTGGGGAGCTGCTGCTGCCTGTGGGGTTTGCTGCTGCAGTGTCGTGCTGCTGCTGCGCTGCGGTGTACGTACAGCGTAGAACAGTGGCTAGCCAGCAGCAACATGGGCAGCAGATCCGGCTGCCCCATTTGCAGGAAGCCCTGCGGCCCGCGGCTGAAGCTGCGCTTCGTGTGGAGCTCCACGAGGGCAGGCGAGAGAAACGGGGGTTTAGGGTTTAGGGTTTAGGGTTTAGGGTTTAGGGTTTAGGGTTTGGGCTTTGGGGCGTGGGGCGTGCGTGGGCTTTGGGCCGGTAAAGGGCTCAGCTCTAGGGTTTAGGGTTTAGGGTTTAGGGCAGCCGCTGCGTTCGGCCTGCTTTGGGGCTTCAGGGCTTTTCATTTGGATCCTGTGGTTTGGGGTTTGCAGTGCGAAGCCTAGGGTTTAGGGTTTAGGGTTTAGGGTTTAGGGTTTGTGGTCTTGCCTCTGTTGCTGCTACGCGCAGAACTCCTGGCCTCTGATAAGCCAGAGCCTCTCGTGGAGAGATTGAGGGTAGGCACTGAAAACAGGCTGCAGGCTTGCTCCCTAGGGTTTAGGGTTTAGGGTTTAGGGTTTAGGGTTTAGGGTTTAGGGTTTAGGGTTTAGGGTTTGGTGCTGCACTTTTCGGTGCTTCAGGGGGAGCTCGTGACAATCCGAAGAGAAAAGAATGGGATGCAAGTGGGCCCTTCGCTTTGAGCGCTGGCCGAGCTGCTGCAGTTGCTGCTGCCGCAGCAGCTGCTGCTGCTGTTGCTGCTGCTGTTGCTGCTGCTGTTGCTGCTGCATGGCTACTGCTGCTGTTTGCTGCTTTATTGCAGAATCGCCTGGAGGAGCTGGAAGCCGCAGCAAAGGCCCACGCTGAGGAACTTGCTGCAGTGGAGAGGCGCTGCGCAGCAGCAGCAGCAAAGGAGAAAGCAGCTGCAGCAGCAGCAACAGCAGCAGCAGAAAAGGAGCTGCAGAAGACAATGCGGCAGCTGGTGGTAGAACAGGCAAAAACAAGAAAAGCCCATGCCCAGCTTGAGCTGGCGAGGCAGCAGCAGACAGCACTCGAGAAGACGCTTCATGGGTACCTTGTGCTGCTGCTGCTGCTGCTGCTGCTGCGAACATCACTGCTTTTGCTGCTGTTGTTCATACTCAGGCAGCAGACGCATCTACTGGTAGTGCTGCTGCTGCTGCTGCTTGCGTGCCATCTGATGCCGCAGCAGGTGCTGGGGCTGCAGCTGGGGGCTACCGCTTGGTTTGATTCCAACAGCCGCTTGCTGCTGCTGCTGCTGTTGCTGCTGTTGCTGCTGTTGCTGCTGCTGCTGTTGCCGTTGCAGCTTAATTGGAGATGCGCCCGCAGAGGATCGCGCGAAGGCGCTACTCAATGACTTTAAGTCGGTACGTGCTGCTGCTGCTGCCGCTGCTGTTGCTGCTGCGAGTTGCGGCTCGCTACCAATTTCATGGTTTGTGACGCTGCTGCTGCTGCTGCTGCCGCTGCTGCTGCTGCTGCTGCTGCTGCTGCTGCTGCTGCTTCGGCTCAGTGGGGACGACTGGAAGATGCAGTACTGACGCTACACAGGGCCATTACAGTGCTGCAGAGGTGAGTGGCTCCTGGTGTTGCAGCTGCAGCTGCTGCTGCTGTTGCTGCTGCTGCTGCTGCTGCATTTCGCTGCAGCTTCCTATGAGTGCTTGTAATCGGCAGTTTGTTCATTTGTGGCAGAGACAAAGAAAGGCTCAAGAAAGAAAAACTAAGACAAGAACTGACGGCCAGGAAACGCATCCACGAGTCCTGCAAACCCTAAACCCTAAACCCTAAACCCTAGATTCGGCGCTCGCGCCACCTAGCATGTCTTGTAATTCCCTGGACCTCCTGAGACCTCTGTACAGGCCTAAAGAGGGTCTAATTTGGCAGCTGCTAGGGTCTACTGCAGCAGCAGGGGCCCCCGGGGGCCCCCTTTTAAATAATTGGAATTTGCTTTTTGCTGTTTGAGCTGCTGCAGGATGCGCAGGGCGCTGGAGGCGCTGGAGTCCGTTCAGTGTACCTGCAGGTGAGGAGACGGCGTGCGGGTCTGCTGCAGCTGCTGCTGCTGTGCAGCAGCTGCTGCTGGAGTTGCTGCTGCTGCTGCTTCTTTGTCTTTGTTGTTGCGCAGCGCGGGAGCAGAACCGAAGACTACCCGCAGCGAGAGAGCAGCAGCAGCAACTGCGGTGACCACGACAGCAGCAGCAGCGGCAGCAGCAGCAACGGCAACAGAGTCGTTGGCAGTGGAAGCCGCAGCAGCAAAAGCAGCAGCAGCAACTGGCTTGCTCAGGAAGAAGCGCAGGCCTCCTTCAGAAACATCTTCAGCAGCAGCTCGAAATGCAGGTGCAGCAGGAAATGCAGCAGCAGCAGCAGCAGCGGAAGAAGCAATTTCTGTAGACTCAGAAGATGATGAATTCGAGAATCTACGCAACGCGGAATCCATGCGCGCACTGAGGGGCTTGCTGCAGCAGCAGCAGCAGCAGCAGCAGAGGCCGCTGCTGCAGCAACGCACTATTCTCCGCACCGGCCGAGTAGTGGCTCCTGCGGGCCCCACAGCCAGGCCCAAAGGGGGCCTCAGTGGTAACGAGAGTGTGCCTCTGCAGGGTGCTTCCTCAGCGCCAGCAGCAGCAGCGGCTGCTGCTGCTACAGCTACAGCGACTGCTGCTACTGCCGCTGCTGCTGCTGCTGCTGGCTCCAGGGTTGCTGCTTCAGACGCGGCTGAGCCGAAGCCCGGAGAAGCAGCAGCAGAGGCTCCAGCGCTGACCGGCGTCGCAAAACTTCACCGAGTACGCCGGCAGCAACAAGAGCAGCAGCAGCAGCAAGAGCAGCAGCAGCAGCAGCAAGAGCTACTGCAGCAGGAGCAGCAACAGCAGCAGCATGTGGCGCCTGAGGCATTCAGCATAAGCAGCAGCGAGTCCCAGGATTGCTCCGACCCTCGCATAGTGCGGGCTGAAGTTTCTCCTTTTTTCCGGAGGCCTGCAACAGCAGCAGCAACGCCAACGGTAGCAGCAGCAACAGCAGCGCAAACGTCAACGGCAGCAGCAACAGCATCAGCAGCAGTTGCAGCTGCAGCACCCCCAACAACGGCAGCAGCAACCCCACCAAGGCGAACAGTGCAGCGAGCTTGTACAGTCACTCATGCTCACAGCAGCAGCAGCAGCAGCAGCAGCAGCAGCAGAAGCACTACCACCGCAAGCAGCAAACAGGCCAACAGCAGCAGCAGCACCACCACCACCTCCACCACCGCCGTCAGCAGAGGGACAACGGAGTATGAATTGCATCCTCCGGACTTCTTTGATTTTCAAGAAGACGATCCCGGGATCGAGGACTCCCAGGCCGCTCTGAATCTGCTGCTGCGCCCCGCGCTTTCGTCATCCCCTTCAGCTTCTCCTGCAGCATGCAGCAGCAGCAGCAGCAGCAGCAGCAGCAGCACGGACAATGCAGTCTTCACTTCCCTCTCGCCCACCCCGCCTTCTTTGCTGGGGCCCCCAAGCTCTGCAGGCGCTAGGTCAAGGGGCCCATCGACTCCCCTCCGGTCGCTACGGGGGCCCGGAGGGGCCCCTGCAGGGGCCCCCACAGGGGCCCCCACAGGGGCCCCTGCAGGGGCCCCCACGGGGGCCCCTGCAGGTATTCTAGCGGGGGCCCCTGCAGGTACCCTAGCGGGGGGCCCCAAGTCCCCAGTTCGAAGAGGAGGTTCGCCTAGCCTTTTGTCCTGCGGCGTTTCTTCAGCTCCGCGCTCTGTAGGCCACCACAAATAAGAACCGCTGCAGCCTTTGTTAAGGCTTTTTTGTGCTGCTGCTGCTGCTGCTGCTGCTGCTGCTGCTTTCTCGTGTTCTCTTTGAACTTGCTGGCGCTCTGCTGCTGCTGCTGCTTGCTCCTGCTTTTGGAGCGCGTTGTGTGTCTTGCTGCTAACAAGCGTTTGCCTCCATACTGCTCACGGCTGCAGCTCCGTGCCTCACCTGCTGCTGCTGCTGCTGCTGCTGCTGCTGCTGCTGATGCTATGTGTGCAGAAGCCATCTTCACTATCGGGAGGCCACTCCAAGCTGGTTCACGGCCGCGCGCTGCGCGACATCCGCGTTTTCTTCAAGCCCGCATAAGAGGCCCCCAGAAAGCTTTCTGGGGGCCCCTGAAGAGGGGCCCCTGAGGGCCCCCAGAAAGCTCTGTGGGGGCCACTTTGGGGCCCCCAATGAAGCTCGAAAGTCTAAAGGGTCTTGAGGGCCCCAGCGGGTGTAGACGTCTTCCGCAGCAGCCGGTGCAGCCCAGGAAGTAGGCTGAGATTGCTCTTGTTTTTGCGGCAATGTGGATGTGGCTGCTGCTGCTGCTGCTGGGAACGCTGCAGCTGCTGCTTCTGCGAATGCCGCAGCAGCAGCAGCTGCTGCTGCTGGTGCTGCTGCAGGCTGTGAAGCTGAACGGCGGGTGTCAGTGGTGCGCAAGCGGGAAAGCAACCGTTCGCAACTGCCTGCTTATCTGCTCATGTTTGCATGTCATGCATGTCCAAACACGCACTCAAGTGCATTTAAATATGTAAAACATATTTCCATCAATGCGTTGGCCTAAGTAAGTACAAGCTATCGCTATTTATACAGTTGGAGGGAAACAGAAAGCATGCATGCATCGACACAAACAGCTGCACTGGAAATTGGCTGAAGGAAGCACAAGTACAATTAAATGAAAGAAGCCCAAATACATTTGAAAATATTCTCAGGCTTTTAGTTAGGATAATGATAAGGATAAAGGAGCCCGTGAGCACAGAAATAGGAATGTCAGTGCAGAGAAGAATGAAATTCCAACAAGTGGAACAGCAGCAATAAGTAGGAAAACAGTTTGAGCTCAAGTCCACAGGCCGATGCCTGGCACTAGAGTAAGCAGCTCGAAAGAAAAGGCCTAAGAACAACAACAACAAACTTGAAATGTCTAAAAAGACAAAAGAAGCAAAAATCATGCAGAGGCCTCTCCATTGAGGAGAAATTGCCTGCCTATAAGAGCAACAGTGACTGACACAAAAGATACTTCGCTTATGTGTGACAACAAACTGCACTGCAGCCCACAAGGGGGCCCTTCAGGTTTCTGAATTCGCTGGGTTAGGACTTCTGTAAGAGGGCCCCCTCTGGGGGCCCGCAGGTAAGGGCCCTCTGAGCCTCCCTGCCTGGCCAAAGGCCCCTCTCGCTCTCGGGGGGCCCCTTCAGCTCAGCCCTATATTAACCCCTTCAGCTCAGCCCTATATTGAAAACCTTCAACTCTCTGAGGGCACCTTCAGGAGGCCCCCAGGAATCGGCAGCAGCGTAAAGACTTGAAGTTGTGGCTTAGGGGCCTACAGGTGGTGGTCCGGCGTATTCGCTGCGGTGTCACTACACTGAAAGCAACGAAGGCTGGCTGGGTGTGGGAAAAGCCCCGAAGCAACAAAGAAGCCTCTGCAGCATCTATTTTTCTAGATTCTTTCGACAAACTTCTGAGAATCACACTACTTCTTCCTCCGTTTCTCTCAGCGCATGCGTCATTGCATATTCTCCGCTACAGATCCACCTGCCAGCCCTCAGCCTGGGGCTTCAAGAGGAATCATTTTAGAGCCAGCTGGCTTCTGAGCTGTAAATGTTGCAGTGGATGCATGCAGTCTCTCCAAGCTACAGTGCCCCCAACAGCGGCAAATTGTGACTTAAAATCAGTCTATTTCCACTGTGTTGCAGTCATAATGCAGAATTTGAGCTATTAAATGCATCAAATGCACCAATTTGGCCAGAGAGTGCAACTAAGGGGAAGAACTGCCTGGTCACTGCCCAGTGGCCCGATGCGCGGTGCTCTCTAACTCTGAATTGGCTGCCGCATTGTGGCCACAGAGAGGCTCTTTAGTGACATTTCATCATTAATTTATATTAAACACTGTTAAGAAGTTCAGCGAAGCAATCCTTTGGCCCCAGAAGAGTATCCGCCAGATCCTCTATGTTGGGGTCGCCTCCGGGAGAGGAGAAGTCTAAAACTGTGGGTGCCTCCAACTGCCATTCGCTGGCTCCAGGGGAGTCTTTACTTTTTTATTAATGATTGTTTAGTTTTAAGTTCTTAACGATGGGCGCTAAACATAAAGCCCTAAAGGTATGGCTTGGAAAGCGGACCCCTTGCACGGCGGAGCTACAACTATTGAGACTGAGGAGATAGAGAGCACTTCGCTGCGTCTCGCGTGTCCCTGCCATTGAAAATAAGGATTTTTGAAATTTGTTGTTAAAATTAGACCAGAAATGGCAGTCGTATTGAGTTGAGTGCCGGACAGGTCTAGTGGTCGATCTCCGGGTGCGTGGACTGCGGCTGGTTCGCGGGGTTGCTTTCTGCGGCAAAGAGGCATAAAAACATGAAACGAATTGGAAAAAAAATTACGTTCATGGAAAGGGTAAAAGAAAACCCCCGAGGCTCGCGAAAGGAAGAGATAGTCCAAGCAGCCCCCGTATCGATAGAGCCCCACTCCCACTGGTGCTTTACACTTGGCGTCGTTCGCGTCACTGTGGGCGTCTGTCTGTCTTTACCGCGTAAAACGGGTGCCTGAATGGCTTGAGAGTTCAATTAATCACTCCATCCTTTTAATTATTTGATTCATTCATCCTTTGGGGGAGAAAAAGCGCAGTTGGCCTCTGCCACACCCGACGCAGAGCCTAGAACAGAGTCTCGTGGGGGGCGCTAGGGCCATCCATATTTGTAACAGGTGTATTTCTGACCCCCTTCCCCTGGCCAAGGACCTCATTATATCCTAAGAGGTATTTGAACGTATGTTCCTTCATTAGAGCTTTCCGTCTCAGCGTCTAGACCCCTAATTCACGTCCCCGTGGGCACACAGACAGGTCGGTGGTCGCCCCCACTGGTCCCTCCCCTCCCTTCGTTTCGTATTGCTGGCTGTTCCGCTCAGTGTCACTGCTGGGGGCCCTCCATATCTATTGCCGTTATTTCAGGTGTCGAACCCCTCCAACTAGTCGGCAACAACCTCCCGGGCAGCCTCCTGTCGCTGGTAAGTACACATAGCACTCTCGCGTTGCTTGTTTGCTGCAACACAGACCCTTGGGGTCCCGCCTTTTGTTCCCTCTCCGACAAACAGTTCATGGCTCCAGCTCGGGCCAGCCTGCCCTGGGCCTGCACTGCGCACCCGCCGGCTCTCCACCGCGCCAGCTAGCCAGCTAGCCCTCCCTTGCCCGCGTCCAGCTAGCCATGGAGCCCGTCAAGCCGGCCCTTCCCCAGAAGGAACGGGGGGGCCCCCGGGACCTAGCTGAGGGCACGCAGCCCCAGCAGCGCCATATCCAGCCCGAGGAAAAGACGAGGCCCCTCTCCAAGCGCAAGATTGGTGGCCCGGGCAAGGGCAGTGTCAGACTCGCGTGGGATCGCTTCTTCAGGTGAGGAGTGCCTTTCGATCCCAATCTTCCTATTTTGTGAAGCTTCACTATTGCCTGTCCGGCGGGCCCCGCAGAAATTTGGCGCTTCTGTGCCTCCCAGGCGCCGAACGCATGCAGTCTTTGTACATGAATCTGCTGTTCATGTTTTCCGCGACTCTTCGCAAAGTGCTGTGAAGAACCGGCGCTGCAGGTTTGGGGCGCGCAGAAAAGCTCAGAAACCCGTTAATTGCATGCTATGTTTTCAGGATAAAAATGTGTCCCTGGATTGCTGAGGGCTGTTGCCGGCACGGCGACTTGTGCAACTATGCACATACACCCGAGCAGCTCAGGCCCTGGCTGCCCCTCTACAAGACGAAGCTCTGCGATGCGTTTAAGAGGGTCAGTGCAGATTCACCTCCTGCCAAACTCGCTTAGGGTTTCGGCTTGAGTCGCGCCACATCGGTGGCTGCATGTTTTGTTCTTGTTGGCATACATGCTGCAATGCAGAGTCGAACCCCTCTCATGTTCTCGGTTACTCATGGTTACTGCGGCAGGCTGTTGTTGCTTGCTAGCAGCCAAAGAACACGGAGGCAGCCCACCTGTGAGATTCTGGTGCATGCAGAGCTCTGCGGTGTCTGTGCAGCCTGCGGCCTGTATTTTTGCAGGGTGAATGCACCAACGAAGAATGCAACTTCGCACATGGGGCTGAGGAGCTGCGCCACACTACTGGCTACTACAAAGTGAGTTTGAGCAGGCAATATTTGGCTGCCTTTGTGGGCGTCTGCTTGCGCTCATTTTTTTGCCGCAGCTCTTATGCTCGGCGGTTTGCTCTTGCGTGGCTTCACGGATTCTGAGTTTTTGGTTTGAAGTGGCCACCTACCTTCCAGCGTCCCGGCCATCCACAAGTACCGACTTGCTCCCTTCACTTTATGTAAACTGCGCCTGCGCCTCTCTCCGTACTATTGGGCGCTGTTGGCGCTACCGAACGATCCTTCTGCTGCTGATTGGGCTTTCTTTGCTTTTTGTGCCTATTTCGTATTCGCCGCTGCAGACCGAACTTTGCCAGTTGTGGCTAGCTGGCAGCTGTCCGTCGCGGGATGTTTGCCGGCACGCGCATGGTGTGGAGGAGCTGCGCCCTAAAACGTGAGGAGGGCTGATGGGGGGGAAGTGGGGATGATAGTGGAAGCGAGACTTGGCAGTTTGTCTAGGTGCTGCAAAGTTAGCAGCAGCAGTGACCCCATGACTGCAGTCACCTGTGCAAGTGCACAGTGCATATGTTGCGTGCAGTGGCTCCTTCAGTTCCTTCGCAGTACGTATTGCGGAGTGTCTTAGTGGGCAGAGTTAAACCGTTTTTCCTGCTGCAAGTGTGCGGCCCTGTTGCAAACACAGTAGATGTAGTACAGAGTAGTAGATCACTAGCGTACGGCTACGGGATGATTCAGTCCTGACTTCTTCACTGGAATCGCGTGGCACTGTGGTTTCTTCTGGCGCTCACGGGAATGAGGGGCTAGGTTAGTGGTAGCTATGGGCACAGCCAGAAAGAGCTTAGAACGTGGGAGTAGTAGTTGCTTGCAGTCGCCGAGCCAAAGACCGCCAGCTGTCTACAGCTAGGCAATGTTTACCGTTGGTTAGCTGCTAGACTCGTTCCAGAATGCACATTCGAAAGGGGATCTGCAGCGGGTAAGCGGTTTGTTGGGCATGACTAATCTTTTTGCTTGTTCGCTGCTTTTGGGGTGGACGCGCAGTCAGCTGGCTCGCAAGAACATAGCGCTTCTTTTGGGCTCGCAAGCACAGGGAACAACATCGAAGGAAACAACAACTGCAACTGAAGAAGAGGACGCGACAGCAGTGGGGGGTTCTCTCGGGGGCCAGGGATCAAAGGGTTCCAAGCAGCAGGACGGGGCCTCCGGGGCGGGAGATGCTTGCAGCAAGCGTGTGGAGGAGGCGGCGAAGGGCTCCCAAGGCGACAGTGAAAACAAAAAAACAGCAACTGATGAAGCACTGGGAGAGGAAGAACAGCTACAGCGCGCACTACATCGACTCAAGCTGAACAGCCTGACAGACCGCCAACCACAAACGTCTGAAAATGGACGCGACTCCGCAGCCTGCCCCACAGGCCAGCAGCAGCAGCAAGAGGAACAGGGCGAGCAGCAGCAGCAGCAGGAGCAGCAAGAACAGCAGCAACAACCCGTGGCAGTTAATGGAGTAACCCATAGCTCATCTTTGAGCAGCGCAATCCCCGCTAGAAGGAAAACGGGAGGAACGCGCAAGGTACCAAAGCAGCAGCAGCAAGATGGAAGCTTGCACCAGCAGCAGCCGCGACAGAGGCGAGCTGTGTCTCCGCGTGCGTTGAAGCAGAGCGGGTCGCAGCAGCAGTCGCAGCAGCAACAACAGCAGCAGGTGCAGCAGAACGGAGGGGCCCGTGTACTGCGGGGTTTTCGCCTGTCGCGTCAGGGCCTGGAGACCGCGTCTCCGGGAGTCGTTTCTGCTCATGGAGGGGCCCCGTACCCCGCAGTAAACTCTAGCAAGGTGGTGGGACACCACAAAGTGTCGGCGGACTCTGCACTGGGAACTCCGCAGTCCCTCACTCCCGCGTGGTGCCTCGTGAGCTCCCCGTCGCCTTCAGTTGAGGAAGGATGTTCTGCAGAAGAGGGCACTTGGCCTTTAGGTTCCCCCTTGCACCAGCTGCCCCCGTGCGGCCCCGCCTGCACGTGGGGCGCTCTGGCTTCTGCTGTGCCGCCGAACTTGCAGCAGCTACCGGGAACGCCCCATCAGCACTTCGGATGCTTTGCCCAGAACGCATGCGAGCTTACCAACGCCGTGCCCCATTTGCAGGCCCTCTTCCCCTTCCCCCCGGCTTCTCAGGGCCTCGTCGCCCCTTGCTTTTGCCAGCGCCACCCCAATGCGGAGCTCCTCCACCGCCAGATGCAGCAGCAACAAATGCAACAACAGCAGCAGCCACCTCAGCAGCAGCATGGGCACAGTCAGCACGCTCCATGTGTGTGCCAGTTCACAGCGGCCTGCCCAGTTCCTCCCTCGGGTGCTTTCTTAAACCCCATAGCACGGTCGGTGCCCCTCGCGTCAGCAGGCAGTGTAGGTTGGGGGCCTCTGCTGGTTTCGCCTCCTTTCTGCCTGCTACAGAGCCCTACTAGCTGTCCCCAGCACGGCTGTGTGGTTCCCAGAGCCCCCCAGTGGCATGAGGGCATGGGAGCCCCTGTGCATGGAGGAGGTGCGGAGAGGATATTCTGCTGGATGCAGCAAGTGCCCCTAAAAGGTGAATACGGACACTCCGATCTTGTGGGGATCGGAAGCAACACTAACATGTACAATTAGGCACACGATGCCGCGAGCTGCTGCAGCAGCAGCCTCATTTAGTTTGCGTAGGCATATTTGCAGTCATGTTGCTTGCCATTGTTTTTCCGATGCAGATCTGCAGATGGCTGCATCGGTGGAGCGATATGAGGACTGAAGACCTCTCATTTCAGCTGTGCCCACCGTCATTATCTGGATTTCTTTATACGCAAAAGCAACAGCAGGCACCTAATGTGTTCACGGGCACCCTGTGTGTTTGATCGCCGGCAGAGATCGGGGTTGATTGCCCTTAAAAGGGGCCCCCGCAGAAGCTTTGCAGGAGGAAGGGGCTTCACAGGCTTTTCCTGAAGCTGCCCACGCCAAGCACGACTTCCGAGCATCTGCGTCAAAAGCGCAGAGCCACACCCGGGAAGCCTTTGCTAAATTTTGGCTTTTGGCTATGCCATACAAACACAAAGCACGCAAGGCGAGGGAGAAAACAGGGTCCCACGGTGCTTCGCGTTTATGCGTCCGAGCCGCAAATTCTAGCTGCCCACACACAATGAACAAATAGTCCTGGTCTGTCTTTTTATTTCGGCGCACGCTGATTTGTTGATGTCGGGCTTCGTCTCTGTTCCTCTTCGTCTGCCGCTCTCTGCCAGCCGTTCCGCGTGTCGCGCTGTGCCTCCCTGGTCTGCCTACTATGTCACGAAGTGCCAGTGTTGCAGAGCCCCTGCGTGGCTGCATAGGCTTGGCTTGTTAGCCCCTACGCTGCTGGCTTTGGCGCGAGGGGTCTCAGCGCTGTCACGGTAGCAGCTGTCTCCTTAGAGCCACGCTAACCAGTATCTGATAACATTCAACGCTGTGAGACGGACTACAGAAAGGCTAACGAAATACCTTTCCCGCGGCGTGACTGACACCCAGTCAGCAGGGCTTTGCCGCCCACTGAAGCCGTGGGCTGTCCAGCCCTTTCAGGTTTTTCTCTTAGCGTGGTAGCCCGTTCGTTCGGTTAGTTACGCGTCAAGTCGTTACACGTCGGTTGTCTGTACCTATAGTTGCCGTTGACTCGCTCACCTTTCGGTCAAAACGCAGACACCACTTGCCCCGGACTGTCCAGACCCAGGGAAAGCTGAAAGGGCTCAGTTAGAGGACGTGAGTTGCGAGGAGCCTACTTAAATAATGCCACTTGCATGTCCACGTGACATATTTATCTTATTGTGCATGTTTGAGATACCTTCATACTGTTCATTCACCCTTTTACGTTTAGCAGCCCACAGAGCTAACAGCCTGCATACAGGTCACATCACACACATGCCCAGCTAGCTGAGGGCGCTGCTGTTGTCGTTGCCCTTACCGAAAAGAGCTGCCCCCGCGCCCACGCAAGGGATAAAGTAAACTTGAAGTCGGTTCGCGTTCGCTCAAAAAGGATTGCCCGGAGCCCATTCCCTTCGTTAGGCTCGAAAAGAGCATCTATTTGCACGAAGAGGAGCAGATAACGGCTCCACAAAGGTATGCGCCCAAGCAGCATACAACAACAGAGGCTTCCTATTCATAAGCAGGTCCCAGTGTCTCACCACAGCTGCTACAACCTGTCAGCCGCCCACGAGATGCCATCAGAAACAGCTGGCGCTCCTGCTGAATTCAGCTGTGGCGGGAAAAGAGCTCTGGGAAGCAGCGAAGGCTTCTTTGAGCCCGTTTACGTTGCTGTCGCAGTTGCTGCTGCCTTTGTCAACGCTGCTGCTGTTGCTGTCCTGTGTCAATACAGGGTTGTAGGTTAGTTCTGGGTTGGGAGGAACAGAGGCAACGGCTGCACAGGGCTGGCCGGTGGTCACCATTCCCTTCTGACTTTGGGCCTGCTTGTCTGTGCTCTTAAACAGAGCTTTCCGCAGCAGGTAATCACAAAGCGCTCCCGGACAGAACCGCCGTGCCTCCAGGATAGAGCAGGTGCCCCAAACGTTTCGGCTGGGGTCTGCTGCTTTGCCTGGTGAAGCAGCAATCACATAATGAACGACAGCACCCGTAACGCCAGCTGCGCCCGCGGCCTCACCTCGCACTACCTTGACAATACGTACCCGGCCCGGAAACAAATTTTCACACGGGTATCTATTAATTAAGCCGCGTGAAACGCCCAGAGAGCTCGAAGAGGAAACTGCCGAGTGCTGCTCTCCCTTTACCTGCTGCACTGGCAGCTGTAGCCACTGAGTGTCACTGGTGTCAGGGAGCCCCGGCAGACCAACTGCGGCCTCTGCCGGAATCTCTGCAACTCCCGCTAGTGCTTCTGGGGGCCCCTCGGCTCCCGGGAACCCGCCGGCCAGCGGAAGCTGCGTAAACCCCGGCGTAGTCAGGTGGGATACGGGGGCCCCATAGGCTTCTGGGGAGCTGACTGTGGGGCCCCCCAGGCGACTATTTGCAGCACAAGACGCACCTGTGGGGCAGAAAAGAGGCGGCCCTTGCTTGCAGCTGTGCAGCAAGGCCTCCTGGCCTTCAAAAGGGCCTCCGGCAGGCCTGTCTGCACACGGAGTCAAGAGAGGAGGACCCTCGAAGCCCCCTTGAACTTCCCAGGAGGCTGGGAGTCTCATCGCCGCCTCTTGTCTGAAAGGAAAGTAGCAAGAAGGCCCCGCTGGCGACTCAGCAGGCACCCAGAAACGGCAGTCCTCTTGCATGCCCCCGTGGGCGCCAGAGGCATTTGCTGCTGCCACTCCCACTGCTGTGCTGCTGTGGACTGCGGGAGATTCGAAAAATGCGGAGGGTTCTGGAGTGTTTCCCAAGGGCGTGTCCCAACTGTACTGCTGCTGCAGGTCCTGGGAAGTGGGGGCCTCGTACCCGCTGACGCTGTGGGGGGGGCCCCCCTGAAGAAAGGGGGGCCCCAGGTCTTCGTCACTCGGGTCGTTGACAGTGAAGCCCGTGGGGGCCCCCAAGGCCTCCTCCCCGTCAATATCCGGGGAAGACTTCCAGGAGCTGGAAGTAAGCCCCGAGGCCTCCGAGCGGCTTGCTGCCTGGGGGGGCTCTTCAGCTCCAACCATCCTCAGGCGCCGGAAAGGGGCCTCCACCTTCGTCTCTGCTTTCTTATTTGGAGTCAAAGAGCCCCCACAGCGGCCCCTGAGTCGGGTCCCCCTCGAGGGGCCCCCTGGGGGCCCCTCTTGGGCCGCGGGAAGGCCTCCAAAGGCCCCTGACACTTTGCCGCTGCAGCTGCACAGGGGGGGCCCCACTGCCTCAGACCCGCTGTCTGGAGTGGCCGGCAGGCCCGGGTCTACGGCCTGGGGGCCCCTCTCTGGCCCGCCTGCGCGCAGCAGATCATCTATGCATCTTCTCCTCCGCCTTGGAGGTTTGGTTCTGTGGGGCCTCTTTGTGCGTCGAGAGGAAGACAGAAGTGACTGCGAAACGGAGCAGTCCGAGTCTGAGGTATTCGCGCCCCTGTTGCTGCTGCTGCTGCTGCTTTGTTTCGGGGAGCTGAATTCCGAAGGGCTGCTGCTGCTGCTGCTGCTGCTCGGCTCTCGCGCGCTGTCCGTCTCCTCCGGGAGAGGCGCTGAGAGCAAAGAGCTCCTTTTTCTGCTCGCGGGGGTGGGCGCCCCTCCCTTGCCGTGCCTGGCCAGCGCCCTCTTCGCCAAATAGTCCTTCTCCATCTGTTCCATTTGGCGTTTGAAGGCGAAAGAACTGTCCATAAGCAAGTTCTTGCGCGTCTCCCACGTGTCATCTTTGGGCCCATAGCCCTGCCACCGCACCCGCCATTCAGGGGTCTTCCCATTGTATCGAAAGCCCACAAGCTTCTCCACAGTGTAGATGTCCGACATCTCCGGGTGACCTTCCGGGCCCTCCGGGGGGCCCTGCCGACCCTCCAGAGCATTCAATCGGCCTCTAGGGGCCGCAGCGCCCCGGGAAACCCGGGAAGATGCAAGATCGCCGGGACGTGTGGTTGACTTCGAGGACAAGATGGCAACAGGCCAGTCAACGGGAAAAAGTGCACAGGAAGCCTACACGGATGCTGTTGATAGCGCGAGATCCCACTGCTTGTCAAAAAACACAATAGTGGCGTGAGCTGCCGCCGTCCAGCTAGCCAGAAGTAACAGCTGCTGTTACGCTGAGGCGACTAACGGAAGCTCGAGGTAGAGGGAGACTAAGTCCTCTGGAAGCCGCATGAATACGGCGAAAAGTAAGAGCGTGTGGAAACTTGAAAAAAAAACAATAAAAGCCGCATACACAAACAAGACGAAGGCACACCGAGTGACGCAGTGGGGCGGCCGAGACAGCTGCTGCGCATGCTGTGACGCCACGGCAATGAAGGATGTGCACTAACTATTCATGGTAATTCTTTGCTATGAAATTTTTAAATTTATCACGTATTAAACCTCCAGGACGGGCTAGCAGTTGCTCTCACAGTAGTGCTGCAACTCGCTGGCTGGGCTGTGCAGCAGTTGTCCATGCACTCGGGCCGGTGTCCCTGGCTCGAATGAGAATACTCGTCTCCTTGTACATTATAGCAAGCGTTTCTCTTCTTAATATTGCAGATTCGTGTGAGGCGGAGGATAGTGCCTCCTTCTTGCAACTACACTGTGCCACGCTACACTCGCCTCGAATCAGTTGCCCATTCGCCCTTAGTATGAGTGTCTAGAGGAATTCTTTTGAGATACTTATTCTTCTGGCATGTTACTTAACTTCATCAAAACCACTGCGTCACCTCGAAGTATGAGAGTGCCTAGGGGCTTCATATCGGAGTACGACGTCAGCTCAGGTAGTCTGCAAGATTTTGAACGCTAGTTGCTACTTTGTTATTTCGGGACTGCGGCCCTTGAACACAGTGATATTTGTTACTTTATAAGGTGTAGGCTTTGGGCAGCTCTTCAGGAAGACCTTTGTTTCTCTCCTGGGTCGCCAAGCTCCACATTAGCGGCCAGGCGCGAAGTGGATCTGAGCCTCAATTATACGCTTTGGGTACGATTTTGTGGGGAGGGCCTGAGTATGAAATACGGATTTTATACGGACCTTTGTTGACCAAGTATCCAACTTCTGTAAACGCTGTCTATAGGACTTTCAGCACGCGGGACTGGTCAGGTAGCCGCGTCAGTTCTGAAGTTTCAGACTGCAGTACAGCTCATTCGCGTAGCATATTCTATCTGTGAATTACAGGGTTCATGTTTCATAGTCGTTGTTGGTGCTCCGTATGCTTCCCAGTATTTCCCTCTGGGGCCGTAGTACTTCTCGAGCCCTAGTCTGACTGCAGTAGCACGCAGTTCTAGGTATTAGGTTACATATTTTGTTGCGGAAGTTCGTGTAAATCTTCCGACATAACTTCGTTCTGATCTCTCTTTGAAGACAAGTGCAACTCATGAATCCCCACTGATACAGTATAGTCCACGATGCATATGGCCATCACTTGCGTGGATGTTTCGTTAGTTTCAACGCGCGTATCCAACCAAATTCAACTTCGTAGTTCCCTTATCTAGAATAACGCACACTGAAGGTGAAAAAGTAGATCATTCTACTGCGAACCGCCCTTCCGTACGAATAAAATGCGTATGGAGTGTTCAAAATCAGTGCCTTAACAGGGTAATGCGTAGTCCTAAATACCTGTAATTGTTTAGTATCGCACGCCTTATTGACGCATGTCATGTGTTCACTTCACTGAACTTCTGGGGACATTTCAGTCAATTGTTTCTGCGATAACGAACAGAACACTGCGTTCTGGCAAGGCGAAGAAACTTCTCTGGTGAGCTTTCTTTTGCGAGTAGCTTGACTTCTTCAGTAACTAGATGCCGCACCTGAATAATTTAAAGGTATATCACATTTGAAAGTTTAGCGAGCGAAGTCGTGACAACATTTGGGCTGAAGACGCTCTGTGTTTCACCGGAAATACTAACAACTTGAGGCTGTGAGTTGCGAGGCTTCGTGGGGCTGCAAAGCCATGCAAGGCATATCTCGGGGAGATCCTGTTCAACACGCATGGTTTGAAGTGGCCGTTGTCATGGCTGGGTGCGAGAGACCCAAGTGACTGTGAGTAGTCCTTGCTCGCACTACGGCCACAAGCCCTTCTACACTGTGGCTCCCATTACCGCCATCGCGATGCCTCAGCCATGAAAAGGTAGTTTGATTTAGCGATAAAAAATGTTAATGTGGGATTGTGTTGGGGGGTGAGTCTCAAAAGTGTTGTTGACTCTGCTGTAAGCCCATGCCAGCCTTGGCAGAAAGTGGCTGTGACAACGGCTAGACTTGTTCGAGTTTCAGCATGACTTTCAGTGTAAAATATTAGGATACTTAGTGGCAAACAATTAGCGAGCTGTTTTTCTTTCCTTCTGTTGGGGCGAGAGAGTTTCCGGTCGCATTATCAAAGGAATCGGCGCTGCTCAAGAAACGGGGTGCTCAGAATGTAGGCGTTGCAGGAATACTTCGACAAAGCCAACCATCTTTGACTGCTACCCTTGCGAGCTACTATAAGTAAACTGTCCTTTTAAAAAATAAGTGTTATTTTTTGGCTATCGTTCGCACGCATCTTTCCTTCAAAAAGCCTCTCAAGTCAAGTGGTTGGCAGGAGTCCCGACCGGCGCAGTAATAGTTTCGCTTATGCGGCCTTCGCCGCTTCTTTATGCGCCCATAGCAGAAAGTCATAATTTCATACACTGGGGGCATTAGCTAACACTTAGGACTCGCTGTGGTATGCATGAATATTCTGCAGTGTGTTAGCGCAATCACTAAATCCCAGCCCACAACTTGCACACTCTCATGAGGTATGTTTGCATACACATCGGCACGAGACTTATGAAAGTGAATTTATGGTACGTTGCCTCAGGAAATTAGCATGCTGCTTAGCTGTGAAAGTGCGCCTCTACAAAACTTCTCCCTCAAGCATCGTTGAGGAACGTTGTTGCGCAGCGTTCGTTGTGCTACTCCACATCTTCTACAACAACAGATTCTTCATCCCTCAGAACAATCATAGTGGCACTGCGATATGTACTGGCCTGCTTATGCGGAAGTATTCCGTGCTTTCCAGCTGATGGTAGTACAGGCTGCCAGTGTGTTTTGGTGGCAGACCCCACAAGAAAGGAGAGATGCACATCGAGTGGCGGCCAGTACAGGTTTCCGGTGAAGTAAAGGCAATTTATGTTGAATTTACGTGGGAAAGAGGATTTATTGGGCTGCATTGAGGGATCCTTCCAGCACACTGCACAATAGGGTGGGCCTCATGTCCGAACTGGGCCATCTGCGGGCGGAACGTGAGCCCCCCGAAACAGAAGTAGACCAATCTTGGAGGTTCTTGCGTTTTGTGGCCTACGGGGGCTGTAAAGACACGTTTCTTTGCGAACCACACTCGCCTTCTTCTTCACAATGGTCAGGGTGCCACCAGATTGCCCAATATGCTGCGAACCATTGGAAGCAAATTTAGTGGCCACGTCGCGGTGTGGTCACATATATCATGAACCATGGTAGGGATGCACCTAACCGATTAGCAGCTCTACAAGGTTATTCGTTCTAGATTACTCCATGAGGAGTACGAAGCAGTTGAACAAGCGGGCACTTTAGAACTAAAAAGAACTGAAAACTGAACCCCCCTTCAGTGACCCCGGCCTTCAAATTTTGCTGCTGCGCGTGCAGTCTGAAACGCTGGCTTTCTTCGTATGGCGGGGCCCCAGCCAGACGCTGTCCAATGTGCAGAAGCACTTGCAGGGCTACTGAGGTTATTGGCCTCCAATTTGAGTTAATGCAGCCGTCCCCAAGTCAGCTCCAACCTCGTTAATTTTCTGGAGTTTCAGAAAAGCCAAGAGGATGCCGCCAGACTGCGATAGGGAACAGAGTGCTATTTCCCGTGTATCGGCTAACTCTCAGCACAACAGAGCACTTGTGTTTCTGCCGCTGTTCTTCTTCAGACGACGGCGAGACGGAGCAGGAATGTAGCGTTGAACTGCAGGTTTGTTCGCATCTACTAGTGCCCAGGCATCATCATCGTTAATTCCTTGTTGCCTGCCTTTAGTTTTAGCGAAGAGGCAGACTATTTATCTTCTGCATAGATGCACGCTGTGCACACCAGGAAAATATGTGTGAGATACTGGCATAGAGACGTCAATGAACAATTTTAATTGCGTCTATGTGCTTCAGACTCGACTGTCAATGGCCAGGGAAAGAGTGAATACGCTGGTCAGAGCAGATGCTGAGCGATGCAGAGAGGTCAATGAGCTCCAGGTGAATGTGATTCGGCACGCGCTGATAGGCTTTTCCTCGCATGCGCTCTTGACAAAAGGGTCAAGACTGGTGACGTAGAGGATTTAATAGCGTAGCTGCATTTGGTTAGGCCACTGTGGAAGCAGTCTTCCGCAGCTGCCATTTGCTACTCGACTCTTAGGCGAAATCCCCCACAGCAAATGACTAAAGGTATTATATTTTTATCAGCAGCAACAGCTTCTGCTGAGTAGGTGTTTCACCAGCTGTTATTGTGCATAAGGAGCTTGGTTCCCGCGCAAGCTCGACGCCTGGCCTCGTAAAGACGAGTTCAGAGTGCATGCCGGAGCCGTAATTCCTAGGTTTTTACTGCATTCAAGGGTGAGGTGATGCAGGGCCGCGTAATGAGTCTTGAGCGCGAGCTATGCTCTCACAGGGAGAAGGCAACTGAGGCTGAAGCAAAGGCGTCTGAGTTCCGCGCTCGCCTTGTTAGAGCTCATGTACTTAGAGAACGCTTGAGCACCGAATTGCAGCAGTTGAAACAGGAGCTTCTTCTTCACGACACGAAGAAAAAGTAGTATGGACCACAGCCATCGGAAGTATTTGCTGAGTGTTTTTTAAGTAGACCATTCCCGCTGCTGTGGAAGCTGTCCGTTCCATGGGGCAAGTATTTGGCTGATCTCTCTTGCGATGTGTGTTTTCCGCAGCTTAGCGAGGGCCACGTCAATGAGCGAGGAGAGGGCCGTTGAGTTCTTTCAGGCGAGGAGCGGTGTAAGCAAACTCCGGACAAAATGGGAGTTTCAGTATCGTATGCGTTGCATTGATCCAGGTTAGAATGCATAGTTCTGGCGTTACTGCCAGCTTGCCGATGGGAAGAGGCACATAAAATTGCACTGGCCTATCCCTGTATGCACGCACGCGTGCATGTGCACCATGGGGAAAATGTCCTCAAAAGAGGGTTTGGATTCTGGAAGTGCTCGTGCATTACTGCAGGAGGACCTTTCTTCCGCCCTAAGGATGCAACACACCACTATTTGCGAGCTGCAGAGGTAAGGACTGGCGGGAGCTCTTTTCATTTAAGCTCGGCGCCGAGCCAACGTACAAAAAGATATGCGGTGACCGTGAGGCATGAAGATGCAGCTCGTGGTCGTTTTCTCTACGCCTAGCTAGCTGTTTCTCAAAAGATACGTGATCACCGCAGTTAAAGGATTCCGCCGTTCGGAACCGAGAAGGGCCCGTGGTTCTGGGTAGCATAGAGGCACATGAGAGATTCAGTGGCTGCTTGCATGCATACAAATACCCATTAGGGCTTGTGGATCTCTTGCGCTCGTACTTGGTTCTTTGCAGTGAAAATGCCCGACTGAATTCTGAGAAAAATGAGCAGAGAAGGCAACTACGGGAGGAAATAGAGCGTAAAAACGCCATTATTAAGCGGTAATAAATGCCTTTTCAGCTCGCCAGATTAGTTACTTCTCAGGAAGAGAAAGGGAGTGCGCATTATTGAAACCACTTGTCGTTCGTCGGCAGTTTTTATCTGTGAATGTTGCTGCAGCTTAGAAAGCGCCGACCGAAGTGCTCCTGAATCCCCGTGAGCTCACTCATTTCTCTTAGGTTAGGAGCCGAATGGCTCTTTTATCCTCAGTGTAGCGTGGAGGCTTGTGCTCGCTGTCTTTGCTCTGCTGAAAGCATACTGCAGTACATGCGTACTTTTGCCGCAGAAAAGCTACCGCGACCCACCCGCTGCAATGCTTGCGCCGAGGGGTGCGGGCATCTTTGAGTGCAGAGGTAACTGCAAGTCGACAAACTCGATTTGGGACAGACAAGCCGTCAGCTTCCGGCAAAGCAGGCGCCTCGACTGGCTTGAATACCTCCGCTGCCGGTTCCAAGTCTGCGTCAACCCCTTGGCGCCAGATGCGAAGGGTTGTTAACGCACTTGGGACTGCAGTAAGCCGCAAGAAAGCTGGAACAAATGTTCCCGCAATATCCAACAAAAGGTCTACACCGTGCACGCTATCGCATAGTAACATAGGCTTTGACTCAAAGCATCGCGCATCTGCGAATTCAAAGTTTTTCGCTGAAGGCGCAGCGCTTAGGCGCACTCGATCCTCAGGCCTACTCGCCCGATTTGCCAGCGCCAGTGCCGCTCCTTTTCTGCTGAGAAAAGCGAAGAAGGCGGCAAGGGAAGACCAAAAGGCCCCACTTAAGGCCCAAGGAGGGGAAAATAGCAGGTCCTGCTCGAAATCAAACGATGCTGCAGGCCAAAGGCCACGCAATACGGAGGTTCAAGAGGCTGAGGCAACGATCCCAGACGCCTCACCACTCGCTGATTTCTCAGCAAGACTAATGTGGTTCCTCTTGTTCGTACTTCTCGCCGCCTTTTTCTTAAGCAGTTTGACGTAGCCCTAGCGTGAGCTTCCCGTGAACCTCACAAAGACCTCAAGGAAACTCAAGACGAAGCATGAAGCCCTTCTTTAAGGCGCTTGCTGGCCCAGATGTAGCCGTCTCATCGCGATCTTACGAGATGGGCATTTTCTGCGTTTTCGTAGCGTTTTCCCCTGCTGGGAGTGTAAGATTTGAACGAATGGAAAACGCAACCCTGCACTACGTGCTACAGCTCGCTTGGAGCTTGCTAGTTTGGAAGTGGGAAGACAGGATGCCTCCCCAGACCGCACATTTATGATATTCTACACTGCTTTTGATCGAGGCTCACTGCAACAGTATTCTCATTGGAGATGAGCTGGCTTCTCTTTTCAAGCGTTGGCGAATCAAAGCCCTAAAGCAGGCGCATAGCACTGTCACGTTTCTCCTGGCCATGTTCCCTACTTAGCCTACGCTCTACAGGCTGAATTCTGGCTCGGTGCACTTGCGCTGCGGTCTCCTTGCTTCTATGCCGCAAGTTCCGTGATGCTGCCCTTAATGCCGCTCCCATGCAAGCAATGAAAGGCGTTAACAGTTTCCGCCGATGCGTCCATTCGGGTTGACATCGAGAAGGATGAGTTCAAAAGGCACAAACAGCTGTGCGCAAGCTCCCTCGTGCGCGTTTCTCCCAGGCGTATTTCGCATTAATGCCTGGTTTGCCCACAACTTCAACACGCGGCAGCAGTTTATACACACGCACACCCACCCACCCAACAAAACACACAAAACGCGAACACTGCATGTAAACGGGCCCTTTAATGTTGCAGCAACAGTTAGGGGCCGCTGTCAAAAAACGATTTGGCCGAGACGTGAGGCACTGATTTGGTGTACAGAAGCCTCCAACGGAGAAGTGCTTCAACGCAAAACGGCGCGTGCTCGTGTCATCCTGACTGGATGTTTTACTGCCCAGTCAGGTACTTAGTTCTAATGCTTCCTGCATTTCACTTTTCTCCTTCGGTTTGCCAAAAGCAACTTGAATATAGCTGTTGAACTCGCCATCCCCAAATATGAACATATGGTCCAAATTCTTGAACGTCTTTACCTCGAAAGTTGAGGACCATCCTGTGCAAACTGAAAGAGAACGCAAAGGGACTGTATCGTCCCCCACGTCGAGCACACTGAGTAAGACACACAGAAGAAACACACGACGGTCCAATTTAGGCAGCAGCAACAGTCCGCTCAAAATCATGCGTATACGGAATCGGGGAAACCGATACGGCCACTGCAGCACTAAGAGCGTTCACATCATTTCAGGCCAGCGTGCTGCCCTCCTGCTACTTGTTGGTGTGGTTGGTAGTAGGCACAAAAAATACTTGCGTGGCTGTTGCTGCCGCCTCTGTCGTTAATGCTACAGCTGATTTACGGTATCGGCTTCCGAGAAAGATCTGTGCCAGTGTATATGTAGCCGACGTCAGTAGAAGGAAAGCCAAAAACACTCCAAATGCATCTTGTGGGGACCTTAGAACACCAAATCATCCGCAACACGCACAGCGGAATCCAAGGCCTCCCTCCCCTAAAGCACCAAGGCAGTCAAGAAGAGCACTGGGAAGCCTGATTAAAATGTTCAAACAAAATCATGCAGTTACAGACAAACCCGTCAAATGTAAACAGAAAAGACTGTGCCTTGTCGTTGGCCTAGCTACAGAAAAAAGCTGAGCACTGGTTTCCAACCCCAGAATATCACGAGAACTCTAGCACTGCCCCATGAAGAGTGGCAGCAACCAACAGAGACAGCAGCTAGCATGAATAAACCTAGCGCTTACTCCAGGGTCTTCCAGCACCCCTTTCATGCGCTCTCTTGCCGTCTCTGCTCGAGCTCGCAGCTCGGGCTCCAGTAAAGTCGTCCAGTTGCCTAGAGTGTATACAACCTCGTTCAAATCCTCTGTAGCTTCAAGGCGCTCCACTGCCGCCATCCTTTCCCTGGCATTTTCGACGTACTGATGCAGCTGCAGCGTTCGTTGCTTTACCTGTGCGTCGATCGCATCTTGAACCAATTGCTCCCCAACCTGCTGTTCCTGTGGATTCATTCTATGTTCCTCATCTCCATTTTTTTCGCTCTTGTCTGCCAATTCCTGTATGCTAGCCCCTGCATCTGACTCAGCAAGCCTCCTAAACTCAAGAGATCGGCCGCTATTCATCATAGCTGAAGGACCCCCTCCATCTTGGCCCTCAGCTAGAGCGGAAAAAGCAGGTGACCGAGTGCCTGATTTAGGGAGCAACTGTCGCAATACCAAATGATCCTTTCCATAAAGCTGAGTCACAAAAACACACGCAAACGTTATTTGAGCCGTGTCAGGTCCCGACAGATTCCACAAAGGCTCCATCTGCTGATGAATAAGGCGGAAGGAAACTGAGAAAAGATTGATGAGAAGACTTCCCGCAAAAGCGCACATACAGCAAAGTCTCTGCTCATCTCCGGTGTCTAGAAACAACTAGTTCATGTTCAAGTATTCCGCTTACATCGATGTCAGGAAGTAGGGCATAGATGGAGCCAAGGCTTCGGGCGAGGTCACGTAAGACATCTACTGGAATCAGGCTGATATCAAGTAAAGTCCAAAATGTCAAGTCCACCGGATCGTTGTAGCTAAAAGGCAGTTAAAACAGCAACAGAAAACAAATATTGGGAACAAACATGCTGCATAAGTCGCGTTCACCATAGAGTGTGGAAATAAGTGGGCTTACCTATGCATTCACTGATGATTTCCTAACCATTGGTTTACTTTGCCTCTTCGGCCCAACATCGCTAATAACTGAGCAGCAAGGGCACTGCTTCTACAAGCATCACCAATCATTCAACTGGGAGCAAGCAACGAAATGCATTCATGTCTCAGGATCATCCGAATAAGCCGCCATTCAAAAGAACAGGCTTTGCGTCTGAAACTCCTGGACCCTCACCCAGTTAAAATGGCTTTAATAGCCTTGAAGCTCCCCCCAGTTGCTGGAGCGACAAGCGTGTAGGAGTTGATGTACTTGTCCTTCCATCGTTTGTCCACCACTTTGTTCAGAAAATAATTACAAACGATGGACCCCAGGCTATGTACAAGCAGATCTGCCTTGGCGCCTCCCATTGCTTCGACATGATGCTCGATCTGAGACTTGAGTCGGTCGAAGTCCATCTGCAATGTACACACACAATCAAAATAAAACGAAGCACTGAAACTCGCTTGCCTCCCCACAAAAGCCAGACTGTGGGCAGCCCTTAACTAGCAAACCTGGGACTGTGGTCGCCAAGCTGATTTCTCTCTCAACGTAGCTCCACTGTAGACATTGTTCTGCTGAATATCTGCTAACATAGCGTGCATTGTCAAAGCTGCCTTCGTACAAAGTGGGGCAATGCTCGCCTGCCAAGGTGGGAGGCGCCAGTCATACGGTATGCCTATGAGGGAGCTCCCCTCCACATATCCCATGGAATAGAACGTCCGCAGCATGGTGTGAAAATATGCTGTCCCTGGTACTCCAAATCTCTCGTTGTAGTAATAATCCAAGTAATCAAAGCCGTGGGCAGTTCCATAACTGTCAACCTGGACATGACCAACACCGCAAAGCCAAAGGACTGAAGCTTGCAACGACGGGACAAACACTCTATTGGCTGAAAAAAATTCTATAGACTGTGTAGTAAGCTGAATACTGAATGACCTCAGTTGCACTGTTCTAATCATTGCATCTTCGCATTTCGTACACGCAGAAGCACGACCCCATGAAACAAAATATAGCCCCGCTTACTTCAACTACTACCCCATCCTTACTGGAGTAGTGCTCCCCTTTCTCGTCAGAGACGGGCTGCATCATGTCCATCCAGCAGAGCTGGTGTGAACGAGGGGGTCTGATGAGGGAGAGAGACGCCCACAGTCTAAAAGGTACTGTAGAGCTAACAGGTGAAGCAGCACAGAGAGGCAGTGACGCATTCTTCGTGCTGACCATAAGGCCACTTCCTGCGATTCCAGGAACCATGAAAATTGGGTGCTCTGGGGAATTTGCAGCTGGGGCCTCCTGCGTTGCATTTGCCTGTCTGGGGGAGTCGTCCACAATTTCAACTCCTTCTGTGGTAGCAGGCCCTGCTGACCCTGTGGTTTTGTTGCAGTCATGTCCATCACATTCTCTCCCGTCCACTGGCGAACTACACCAGGCTCCGTGTTGCAACAAGATACCGAGAAATGCATAGGAACAAAACAAAAGGCCGAGCAGCCTGTACCACTGGACCACCCAGACGGCACGCACAGACACTCCGCTTCCCAAGGACATCATGCTTACTACTTCATAAAACAGATTAGCAGGGATAGTTAGTGACTTCTCTGTCTCATGTCATCGACCCAAGCATGTGGCGTTCGCTGTCTTCGGAGACGAAGGCTTCATTGACTTGTTCCCCGACCCTTCAGCTGAAAGTGAAACTGAGTTGCCTCCAGTGCACAGCGCACCACAGAGGGAACAAACAAGCCACATTAACTGGAAATAACATGACGGACTAAGATGCGAAACAACTTTTTCGTTTCAGTGGCATGCGCCGCATCTGGCAGCCTTCCCTGCCACCTACGGTCCACTGCCCAGACCGCTGGCGGGGATTGCCTCAAAGGCGGCTTTCCTTGAGTGTGCTGGGTGTTTAAGCCAAAAATGCCGAGTCACTGGTTTTAACTTGTGTTTGAACTATACCTAATTCTCTCTGTAGGCCGTTTGCTGCAGCTGTAAAGGCCTGGATGGCAACCCACTCTCACGTTTTCTTAGTTCTCCGGAGCTGCACACTTTTGGGGGCTCCTTACCAGTGGTTTCTTCCTTCCAAACGTTTTTGATCGTGAGACCGAACAGTTGGTCTTGTTTTCGAGGAATTAAAAATAAACTTCATTGGAAGGGCACACGTGCACTTCATGAATGTGAACCGCGAGCCACTGTACGGCTGGGTTCGACTTGCCCTGCTCTTGGCTAGTTTTTCTGTTTTGTTTAGACATTGAGCCAAATATGACGGACAAGAAGGAGCAGCTGTATGCTGTTGACGACATACTGGCTTGCAAGAGAGTGGGGGGGAAGTTCTACTACAGGATTCGGTGGAGTGGCTATGGCGCGGCTGATGACACTTGGGAAGGGAAGGAGTGTTTCACCGCAGGTTCTCTTTCCCACTTTCGCCCAAGGCTTAATGCACTTGAACAGCTGTGGCTTAACTCAAGTTCAGGCAGTACCCGCCAGCAGAATGCAAAGAGTAAGGCGTCTGGCACAGGCAACAGAGACCGGCGAAAAAAGAAGACACTGAAGAAAAAAGAGGAGGCTACAGCAGCCAGAAAAACCAAACCAGCAAAATCAAGCAAGGCAGGAAAAGGTAACAGCGGAAAGACCACACGCACGGAAGGAAGAAATGAGAAGCGGCGGCATTAGGGATGCTAGGACGTATAAGTATCAACACGGCTTCTCCTCACCTGAGGAACTATACATCTGAAATGCACATTCCACATTTTCCGTTGTTTTTATAGTTTCGCCGCATTGGTTGCGGGTGGCGTATCAGTATCAACACGGCTTCTTCTCACCTGAGGAACTATGCATCTGAAATGCACATTCCACATTTCCCGTTTTTATAGTTTCGCCGCATTGGTCGCTTGTGAGTTCAGGAATCGCGGTGCAGCACCGCATGCAATATTTTGGCGTTAGCGTCTAAGCTTCGGCATTGTGCGTCTCGGCAGCCACATGGAAAGAATGCGCTTGACAAAGTCATTGCGATTGCGCTTTCAGTATTGCATACAGAGAGAGTATTAAACGAACCTGCGGTTAGAGAGACCCTCGGCTATGGAGCATTGGTGACAGAGGCATCCAGTCTTCCCGTTAAGAGTGTTCACGCGCTAGAGGACTTTTAAGGGCGTAGTACATTCTGAATCTGCTCAGCAAAGACTCAAGGAGAGAGGCGCACATTAGCTGCGTAGTAATGGAGGGATATGGAGTGAAGAGCAATAGACGGGAGTGGGAGTGGTTGGTTGCTTCTTCTGGCAGCGTTTAACTTCCGTGACCGCAGAGTTCGGAGGATTTTAAGGGCTTGGATTTTGCACTTTGAATGGCGAGACAGGATATTGATATCGGGTTCTGTGCAGCACCACTATCACAATGTTCAGGGGCGCTGCTTTTTTTTCAAGTTGTGTCCGCTGCGAAACACTAACCAAACGCGGCATTACTTCCATTGAAACTATTCCTGTGTCCGCTGCGAAACACTAACCAAACGCGGCATTACTTCCATTGAAACTACTCCTTTGAGCGAACTGCTCTTCCTGGGCAGAAGGCTCGGAAGTAGCATGTGCGGGCGCGGACTTCGAGCACGACAGAAAGGGAATGCCGGGTGTTCTGTTTCGTTGAGGTTACGGTAGAGAAGAAGACCAAATTTACAGAGGCTGTGCCACCTTTGGGAGAGGCAGAAAAGGAACGCCAGGTGTGGCGTTTCGTTGAGGTTACGGTAGAAGTGAAGAAGAACAAATTTACAGAGGCTGCGCCACCTCTGGAATGAGTGCACTTCACACTTTTCTCGTGCGGATGAATACTGTGTGTCCGCATTCCCTGCCACCAGCAGAGTTTGCCAACTTCCTGATCGGTCGTTCGCAGGAAGTACATCCTGGGATTGCCACCAGTGTGCATTGTTGTGGCCTTGCCGCGGGTCCAAAGAATAAATCGTGGAGCCAGTCGAAACTGCATAGCAGAGGCTGACCACAAATTGAAATGCCGAGCGAGAGAGGCGCTGCTCGCTGCACTGATGGGGTGGTGGTGTGACAGACGATTTCCGGTAGTGAAAGGCAGATCACAACGAGGATGAGGATGGGGACGGAGACAAGAACTGTATAAAGGATGCCTGATGGCTCCTCCTCTCATTTTTTCTTGAGCTGGTTGCGCTTGATGCGTACCTTCAAAACAGTGCCTGAGGTGAGCAGGCAGCAACTGTTAGGACCAACTCTATGTGTTGGCTGCACAGGTTTAGGGAATCTTTGATGTCAATTCCAAGCAAGTCTCGTGCCTTACTGCTGTAACTAAAAAGGCATGTAGTCCGTTAGGACGGTTTGGGGATTCATTGTGACGTGGTAGTGCGTCCTGCTATGGCACCGGGGTGACGCATCTGGTGGGTGCATTAACCGAAGGACAGTCTCTTTGAAGCCCTCCTCGTCCTTGCAGCTCGGCATGCTCATGAGAGCCTGATGCAGTTGACACCGTTTCCCCCTATGATTTATAATCAAAGGCGAAATGTCTAATAGCGGTCCGCTAGGTACGAGGGGTGCTTCGGTCAGTGACCGAAGGCCCCATCATGCAGAGCAGGTGCACATTGATTTATGCAATAGCCTGCCCATGATGGTTGCTCAACGCCAAGAAACCTTTGCCAGCATTCAAAGAGCTGGCAGCATTGCTGACTGTAACGCAATTCTTCTATGTGTACTTTCCAACACGCACATCGAAGGAAAAATGATTCTGCCAATTCAAGAACGTCTAGAAATTGCCGAGTGCCACAACAACAAAATAATACTACGGACTGCAGAGGAGACAGTCCTCTGAGATGTAGCTGCGTCCTCGCTGGCTCGACATGAAAGCATTGGATAGACCGCTAGAAACACACCGGATGACGTGGCCACTCTCTTCCGGCGTGGAGGTGGATACCTTAGGCATTCTCCGGGTGATGTCGATGAGCCATGGGAGCGCATTGTAGCTCTGGGAATAAAGCAAGAGGAACGCAGGAACATCCGCGGATTGGCGATTATTGCATTTCTTGTTTTCCCCCAAAGTTGCGTCTTCGGCCAGTAGCAATAATAACATGGCCGCAACGCTTTTTGGCTGGCGCCTTGACAACAGGCAAATATTACACTCTCCAAACTGATTCCCAGAATCACTTGGCAAATTCGTGGCTTCAAGCAAGGCTCAGCCGGCGACCGGCGATAACGAGATTCATAAAGTAGCAAGCAAGGGACCCATTGTTGGGGCACACAGAGAAAGTAATAGAATGGCCGCCGACCAAGATTTTTTTCTGGACTTTGTTTTGGTGTAGCAGTGTCAGCGGGACCCTATGCCACCCGCAAAATGCCACAGCTGATCATACGCGTAGTCTAGTCGTTCTATCCGCCGCAACTGTCTGTTCGTAACAGCATCTTGATGACTCTCACCAAAGAAACAGTTCTATTAGATAAACCTCCGAAGCTTTAAATTGGCTTGTATGTTTTTGACCTTTTAAATGCATTCGACCCTTTACGGAGAGAGAAGCGGCGGCGTTTGTCTTCATGAAGCGGGATCTTCTGTAAATGAACAGCTTCCTAGCAGTCCGGAGGCTGTATTTGGCTTGAAGAGAATAAATAGATAAAAAAGAGCCGCCTAAATGCATGCGGCTGATGGAGGTAACAGTGTTACACATGTCGCGATGGAAGATACATACCGGTATCAGAATATAGAGCTCATTTTTGAGAGATCCTGTATATCTTACGTAGGTTTGTTTATGCTCACTTATTAAAGCTGTTAGAATACTATATCTATACCCCCTTATTTTCAAAGGCTAAGAGGACGGGAAACACGGGCTACAAGAAGAACTGAAGGGAAAATTAACATTCGGCGAAATGACGTCTTACACTTGGAAAGCCTTGTCGCCCCATGGCCCAAGACTCAGCGCTCGATAGGCGATTGGCCACTGACTGCGGAGGCCTCTGCAACAGACTGCCGCATCTAATGGAGTTTCTAAATATGCTTTTCACAGCTACTGTTTCTAAATATGCCTTTCATAGCAACTGTAGACAAGCTCGCAGCGAGGGCCCCCCATACTTTGTCCTTCTGCGGCCCCAGTTCTTTTTAAATTCTTTTCAACTTAAACTTTTGGGGAGATCAACCGGTTGAAGGAGTCCGCCACGAGTGGCACACAACTTCTCGCCATTGGCGAATCCAAGCAATGGCTGGTGCACGTAGCGATCCTAGCAGTTCCAAAGGGCGGCTTCTCACTACATACTTCTGTAATACATACTTAATTATAAGGGATCACTATGTGGAAAGAATAACCCCGAAAGCGAGTCAGCGAACTGGAGCGAAGCGGCTACTTGTAAAACGCGCAGTCACACGCGTACACCCGAGCGGCGGAACGGCGCGGCAGAGCAGCCCGTCTGCAGTTAGCCTTCGGCTCTGATTCGATATAACAATTTTATTTGAAGTACACAACAGAAGATGCAGAGCTTTGGCTCGCGCGCAGCTGCACGTTCCGTTCTAATGTCGAGCCTAGTCCAGATCTCTTTGAACGGAGCGACCGCGGCGGTTGGGAAAGCTGTTCATCTTTTTCTCTTCCCGCTAATGCGCCTGGCGAGTCTGGCCTTCATCTAAAAATGACTTTCGAGCCTTTTTAGCGAAAGGGGAGCAAAATTGCGTAGGATTGCTGCGGGGAGAGGGGGATAGAAAGGCCTTTGGGGCTTGCGTAGAGGATCGGTAGACTCGGAAAAGAGAGTAGCAGGGTACAATAGGAACATAATTTAAGGGTGTTAGCTGCTTTAAAAGTAATTACTTGTGCTCAAGGTGAAATTGAACCTATCTGATTGGGGCGGAAAAGCCGAAGATGGCGCAGGTTATTTGTGTATAAACGCGAACCATTGCCAGCCCTCATTGCTGCGGGGGCAGGGAAGGGGACTCGTTTCTGAAAGGTGGGCCGAGGGCGAGGAATTTGGCGGAGCCCCATTGGATGCTATTTCTAAATCGCTTTATATTACTTTTTTGCCTTTCGGAGTAGCCCTGAAGGCTCACCCCATGCCCTCATTGCTGGCCAAACCTCCCTCAGTGACGGACCGCTCGCCCCCCCTGCGGTTGAGCTGTACATACAGCTGGACAGGCGGTGGGATCCGCAGCACTCCACTTCGGTTCGCACTTTTATTATTTCCGCAAAGGGCAGGGCAAAAGGGAGGGATGCGTTATGGGGAGGGGGCCTAATCCCTTAGCAGCTCTTCCCCCTCCCCTTCTGTGCCAACGCTTCTCTCTGGGCGATTTCCGTTTTTTCGCTGCGCCTCGATGCCCCGAAGTCCAGCTTCCCGCTGCATCTTCTGACGCACTTTTCCTGCATTTCGCCCTCTGCTTTCTCTCTCCGTCTCCGCCGCGATGAGCCTTCGCGCCACTCTCGCGGCGGCTCTCTGCGCGGGACTCTGCTGCAGCCTCTTGGCCGCGGGTTCTGCGGGCTCTGCTGCTGCGCCTGCTGCAGCAGGCGCTGCTGCTGCTGCTGCTGCTGCGCCGCCCCGGGAAGCAGCGGCCGGGCTCCCGCTGCAGTCCCCCGAGCCCTCCGCAGAGCCTCCGCCGCCTCTCAGCAGCTCGGGCCCTCAACACCAGCCGGCCCCCCCCGCTGCAGCAGAAGCAGAAGCCCCCAAAGACGGAGAGTCCAGCGGCTCTGGGGGCCCCGCAGGGGCCCCCAGTGCCGCGGGGGCCCCCGCGGGGGCCCCCGCCGGGGGCCCCTTGGCCGCGGGCCCCAACCTCCGGCGGCTCAAGGGCCACAGGGGGGGCCCCCGAGCTGCTAGAAACTCGCGACTGCCCAAGTCGGCCCTGCCTGTATCTCCCATCAGCACGGGCTGGGGCGCCTTCCTCGTGTGGGTCTCAGCAGCACTTGCAGTTTGCTGCTGCTGCTGCTGCTGCTGCTGCTGCTGCTGCTGCTGCTGCTGCGCATCCGCAGCAATTCCCTTGCGCGGGCCAGTTTGCTGCAGCGCGAGTTGTGTGCGTGTGCTGCTGCAGAGGGCTGGGGTCGCTGCTGTCCGCCGTGGCTCTGTGGCGGAAGACCAGCGAACTGTACCACAGCCCGCGCCAGGCCTTGCGCAAGGCAAAGATGCGAATCTTAGGTTTGTCTCAGCAGCATTTATTAAAGTCACTTTGTTCTAAGTTGAAGCAGTTGGCGCTGCTAAACCCTAATTCAGTGTTTGCCGTCTGCCACTCGCGCAGCTTTCAGCCCGCCGTTGCTTTTGCTTGGCTGCAGCCGCCAGTGTTTGCGCTTTCTCTTTCTTGCAAAAACTAAGTTGTGGTTTTGTTTATCGGTTTTGATGTGGGGTTTTGGAACAGCCGTTGCGTCGTGTCTGTGTTGCCGGTTGTTGCATGCGCCGGGGTGTACGTACACCCGAGTGTACGTACACCCGAGTGTACGTACACCCGAGTGTGCGTACACCCGAGTGTACGGTGTACGTACACCCGAGTGTACGTAGACTCGGTGTACGTCCAGGGAGTGTACGTACACCGGAATGTGCGCGTTTTGTGGCGTTTGAAGGGGAAAGAAGTAGCAGAATGTTGTGGGTTTAGGCGTGCGGCGTTGCGCAGGGCAAGTGCCGGCGTCGTGGGAAGACTACGTGCGGAACTTGCCGGTGCTGGACGAAATAGAGTTTCCGGAGTTGCGTCCGTTGCTGAAGCGGCTGGAGAAGAAGCCGGTGGTGTTGATGTCCGTGCCGAAGCCGCGGGCGCGGCTGGCGGCGTTCCTGGGGCTGACTGAGGAGCAGCGGGAAGAAGGCATAGTGATAAAGGGGAAGGCGACAGCGGGGTGCAGCGCGAAGGAAGTGGCCTTCGAGTTGTTCGCGCACGAAAAACTGGCCAAGGGGCTGCCGCTGTCGCTGCCGGCCCTGGGGGCCTTCAGAGACGTAGACGCCAGCACTCTGTACTTAGTGACCCCGAGAGCCCGCGCAGACGTCTCCATGTACACGCGGCGCATGCCCGAGAAGGTCAAGCTGCGGCTGGCCTTCGCGGAAATGGTCTTCGCGCTGTGGGGCATGCACCGGAAGGGGTGGGTGCACCGGGACATAAAGGGGTGCAACTACTTCGTGAGCCAGGACGGCCACGCGTTGCTGGCGGACTTCGAGGGTTTTTGGCGCAACGGCATGCACGCGATAATGTACGGAGAAGAAGTCGAAATTATCTTTACAGAACACTACATAGCCCCCGAACTCACCTTCGACGGAGAGTACCAAGTCTTCGACTTCAAGACAGATGTCTATGCCCTCGGGGTCACTTTCCGGGAAATGCTCGACTGGATGGGGGGGCTGCCAGTGCCCCACAGGGACTTGGCCGAGGATTTGATTCGCCACATGACGGACGCGGACACGGACAACCGCTACGACATCGAGCAGTGCATGAAGCACCCCTACTTCGACGGACTCAACTTCGAACTTGTCGAAAAAAAGATGTACGGAAAGGCATTTGAGGGGACTTACCAGACTCCCTACAAGTTCCTGTGACCCCGCGGCCCCGGCGACGCGCAAGGCCTGCTGGCGACTCTGCTGCACCTGCTGCTGCACCTGCTGCTGCACTTGCTGCGCTGCTGCTGCACTTGCTGCACCTCCTGCTGCACCTGCTGCTGCACTTGCTGCACCTCCTGCTGCACTCGCCCACGCAAGTGCTGCTGCGGACGCTGGGGACACAGGTAGATCTGTACTGCGCACTGGCCACTCGCTGCAGCGCTGCTGCTCCCATGCTGCACCTCTGCTGCATGCGTGCTGCATGCGCTTCCGAGCCGCCGTCTTCAAATTCAGTGGAGAGTTGTCAGGTTAGTTTGAGCTGGTTAGAGGTGCTTTAGGCAGTAGGCGGGCCGCTGCTCCGGCCCTCCCCGGGGCCCCGCCGGGGCCCTGCAGGGGCCCCCGAGGGGCCCCCGAGGGGCCCCCAGGGCCCGCAGGCTGCAAAGTCCTTTGCAGCCTCGGGGCACGCGGCGGCCTATTCCGGACTTGTGTGTTGCCATTTGAGGCCAGCTATCTGAATCAGCCAATACATCTTACGCAAGTCTACTCGCCCAAGCCCAAGATCTCACAATGTAGGGGTTCTCACCCTTAACTCTTCAACCCTGAACCTTTTTACTCTTTTTTACTAGAGTTGAGCGCAAGCTCCAAACAAACTTCTACTGCCTTCTTCCCTTTTGCTGCAACTGGCGCTGCACCCGCGCCGCTCGAGCGAGCGACGGAGAGGCTAGTTGCTGAGCGAAGTAGAGCGGCCTACGTGCTGCTGCAGCGCGCCTGCTGCAGCAAGTGCGGCCTACGTGCTGCTGCAGCACGCCTGCTGCAGCAAGTGCTGCAGCAGCAGCGCCACAACTTTCACGTTGACGGAGTTCCCCACCAGGGCTGCCTTCTTTCTAAAGGGCAGCGAAGGGGGGAAAGAAAATGTTTCCGGAAACCCGTGAAGTCGCAGCAGCTCACGACTTGAAAAGAAACGAACTGAATCGCCAGCTCGCAAACGGCGGAATCGATGACGCTCCAAGGTGTCCGGACGGAGCACTGCTGCTGCTGCTGCTGCAGCTCCTGTTGCTGCAGCTCCTCCTGTGGTGACTGCTGCAGATTCGACTGTGCTGCTGCTTCCTGCTGCGGCTCTGGATGGTGCTGCTGCTGCCCCTTCTGCTGCTGCTTCTGGGCCTCCTGAAGGCTGATCTTCTTCGCAAATAAGCAGCAGAGGCCCTCCGGAGTGGAGGTTTCGCCCGTAGCCCTTAGTAAAGGTGCCGCACGCCGTCGAGCTTGGGCTCACGAGCTCCAAGCGGAAGCCGTTGTTGAACTTGTGCTGAGGGTTTGTGTTCTTCTTTTTCCTTTGATTTAACTCCATTTCCGTCTCAGTGCTTTCTTCTTTTTTGTTGAATTCTGAATTCGCTGAGTCCTCTGCAGCCCCGCTTCCCCCCTCACCGCTGTCTGCCTGTGCAGCATCTGCTTCCGATTCAAGAAAGCGAGTCAGTCGATCCGCAGGAACCCGCAGCGCCTCCCACTCTGCTGCAGAAATATTTTTTTCCAAAAATTCGCCAACACAGCGCAGCCTGGGAGCTGCGCCGGTGGCGGCGATCTTCGGATTCCACTCAGCATTCAGATCTGGGGGAATTAGCTGCAGCCCAGCAGCCCCCAGCGCGCTGACTTCAGGGGTTTCTGGCGGCGCCTGCTGCGGCTGTTGCTGCTGCTTCAGGCCCATCTGGGGCTGCTCCGGCTGCTGCTGCTGCTGCTGCTGTTGCTGCTGTTTCGGGAGGTCTGTGTGCCTCGCTGCGAGGCAGTAGTAGCGAACTCTCGTGTTTGGGATGCCGATTTGCGTGGGGGAGAGTAGAAAGTGCTGCACGCTGTAGTGCTTGCGCAGCAGCACTCGCTGCATGCACTGCCAAGTGTCTGAGCCTTCAAAGCCCCGGACATTTTCCAAGAATATGAACTGAGGGGGAGAGGCGCAGCTGTCCAGGAGCTGCAGCAAATGCAGAAATCCCGTAGCCCGCCCGTCCTGCATGTCCAGCTTTTTGCCTCCCCGTGTGTAGGGCTGGCAGGGGGGAGAGAGCAGCCAGAGCTGCGCCTTTCCATCCACTTGCTGCAGCGAGAGGTGTTCGATGGAAGCGCAAATGGGCTTGCTGCTGAAGTTGTGTGCATACACTCCGTTTGCTGTTGCGCTGATGTCGTAGGCCGCCACAAACTCCGCAGCAAAACTGCCAATCCCGCTCTGTCTCAGAGCCTCGCCAGCCTCTACCAGACCCACGCGGAGGCCCCCTATGCCGCTGAAAAACTCTATCACCCGCAGGGGGCCCCCCGGCCAGCGGGGGCCCCTCTCTCCAGAGCCGACCCCATCACTGGCCACGGGACAACTTGAAATAGATTCTGACATGCAGTGTACTGGGAGTGGTCCCTCGAAGGAGCAATGGAACGCAAGAGTTCAGCTGTAAAGCCTGAGAGCAAAGCCGAGACTGGCGCCAATTCTTAACAATGAGACGGACGAGGCAATTGCTGCTCTCGTGTTACATTTTCCCCACAAAAACATCAAAATAATGTTTCTTACTCGCTAGAACTCTCAGTCAACCCGTGATTGAGCTTTTATTCTGAGTTTCGGCGCTCGCTCGAGCCCTGAGGCCTCAAGCCCTGTGACCCTCTCTTCTGATATCACAACTCCTCCTCCGTTTTTCATTGAATGCACAACAATCCGATATGTTTTATTTTAACGAGTAGCATGCAGACGAAACAGATGCTCTGAGCATCAAGAGGGAAATAGCACTGCTGTGGGGCCGTCCAAAGGGTCTCTTGGAGTAACTCCACCTAGCAGAAGGAGTTTCATTGAATGTGTATTTTCCTGACAGACTCTGGATTGAACTAAAACTCCAACAAGTCCACTTTGGCAGATTTCTGTCCAGCTGCAGCATAGGGTACTCCCACTACACGGCTCAGTGGAGGTGTAGTGAAACTTCTAAAAAAATCCATGCAAATCTGTTCCAGTGGAGTCCACGAAGTTGACTCTAGTGGACGCTTTATTTCCTCCTACACCACAGGTGGCTTTGCTCTTTGGCTGACTGATTGCTAATTGAATGCAAGAGCCTCTGCTATGCGGAGGGAAATGAGCATTCAGCTAAAAGTAAGGAACCCCAAGGTGGATAAGGTGTTGAAATGCCGATTAAAAGGACCTTTTGTACGATCCAATTGTCTTAATGGCCGCCTCACGTGGAGGCCCCACACTCGCGGTGTGCAGCAAATTCTGGGCCGTTCAAAATGTTTGCCTCTTCGACTCTTAGTGCTTCTTGCTACTGTCCATTAGCAACACAGGCACAATGAGACTGGCTCTTACAGTACCTTAAAGCGCTGCCGCTTAGTATCAGCCTTGCTATTTAACCTGACGAGCATTTGCGCTTTTGGCAGAGAATTGTGTGCAAAACAGAAGTAATTCGATCAAGAAACACCTGAGAATTAATTGAACGCAATTTGAAAGAGCCAATATTTATGTTTTATATCCTGAAATAGACACCGCAGCGCTTCTCATTCAACGAAGCTCTACTGACTAACCTTTTCAAGTTTGCATCAGTCATTTGCACAGCTCCATACATTGTATCTTGGGGTAAAACTGCCCTAACACTCGATCTTGTCTCGGAAAAGTACTTGATAGACTTTTAGGCTCTTCAGGTGCGTCGTTGGCCGCTAAAATGTTGGAAATCACTACCGGATCCGCTGTTGTGGCCAGCTGCCAGTAAAGCTGGAGGACCAGTGGTGTCTCAAAAGGATATTTTCTCATGTATGAACAAGACGACTGCAGAAGTGAGCTGAGAGAAACCAAAGAGGCAGTATGGGGCACTTATTGCCGGTGGCAGCATTCTGGCGTTTGCAGAAAAAGCCCAGTGGCTCTTCATATACTGACTTCATAGGAATTTTATCATACTTTGGGTAGTTCACTCGACTAAGCCGATGATTTGCTGCGCATTCATATTTACTTGTGTAGCAAGACAGAGTTGCCACATGTTCACAATACAGATTTTACAGTGTAGAAGACAGAATGCCGTGGAAATGCTCTCCGCTTTCCTTGGTCTGTCCTTCACTAAGCAACGCGTAAATGGACTCAAGGTGTTCAATGCTTTTCCTTCATTTGCAAGATTGCCCTGAACTGCGCATTGTTGTTCTCCCCTGAATGGCAGCAAATCCAGCAGCTGCAGCTAGCTACTGCTGCTCGTCGGGCAGGGACTTGGAAGGACAATAACGCCTTCCATCGTACCAAAACTGACTTTGTACAAGTGCTCTATTACATTGCTGTGTGACAAAGCTGAAACAGGTGGGTCGGACAGAGAACCAACAACTGCTGGACTAATCACAAGGCTCAGCAGCCAGTGTAGGGTAAAGCATCGCGGACAAATAAAGTAACGCTGATCAAATAAGAGCTTTGTTACATTACTGCTGCAACGAGGAGTTGGTGCAACGCAGGTTCTACTTTGTCAAACTAAGACCCAGCTGAGCAGACTTACGCACACCTAAGCTTCCAATAAGTGGAGTGCTCAAATGTTTTGCTTTATGTATCCCGGTAAAACTACATTGCAAACAGGCATGCCTCTTCGGAGAGCTTGTTGGTGGGGGAAGGACTTAAGCCTGGTACATCACTGCACGAGGGTGTACAGCTCCGGTGACCCCGGAGTTTTTGGGAGTTTCAAACGAGCTGCACTGGTACGTTGCCACAGAAAGTTCTGAACTAATTTAATAAAACGAGTGCACTGGTTCTCAGAAGCTCTCGCTCGCCATCCGGGGAAAGCATTAGTGGCAGCCGATAAGTTGCCCACGCTGGTCGACAAGCACGTGTAGAAACACCCAGCGAACACAAACAGTAGACTCCTATTAAAACCAGAGATACATGAACAGTGACGTGACGCAGCACAGAGCCTAGACAGACTCAAACACAGAAACTTCATTGATCATGCTCGCACCTGTGGTGTGCACCTGACCGCCTCCTTGACACCAACACCTTTGCTATTTAGTTTTCAAGTTAAAAAACACGGCAATATCCGCAAAGGTACGCCGAAATTTCCAGTTGGAAAAACTAACATTGCTTCGCTAGGAGCTGCAACGGCGGTGCATGCAGCCAACGAGCACAGTGGAGCTTTTGGGGCTTGCTTTAAGAACAGCCCGGCGAATGCCTGAAGTGTTTTGGTTGATAAATTAGCATAATTACATTACTTGTTCCTATATTTTACGCTATTTTGTGCAATGAATTCGTGTTGGAGGGCTCCACGTTAGCCGATGCCTCCATACAGCCGAGAGCTGATTGCTTTAAGGCCATTGGTCTATACGATTTGTTTATTGCGTGCTTGTCAGTACAGCATGCTTGTGACAGACACACATGCCTCATGACTGCCGCCATATAGCATTTTAAGCCCAGCAACAGCTGGAGGGCCACAGAACGCTGCAGATTGAACAAAACTTTTGTGTGAAAATGTCAGCAAAAACTCAAGAAGCAGCGAGTAAATCATCCCCAGGTCGGACTGGTTCACCACATAGACGGATCTAGAGGTGTTCCTGTTCTCTATGAGAGAAGACTAGCGGGTTCTTTCCTCCTGAGCCTCGTATCCTTTCTAGTTCGTAGCCGTGTCGCGTAAGAGCTAGACTTCAGAGATCACTTCCTTTTACTTCTATTCTAATATGCAATTAAAATTACAGTTGATACGAGCCTTTTGGTTTGCCTGATTTGCCACTAGATGAAGAATCGCCTGAGCAGGAGCGGCTCCGCACGCTGGCGGAACTGCGAGAGAAGGCGGAAAATGAAGTAGAGAGCCTGCAGGCGCTGCTTGAGCAGACGAGGCGTGGCAGGATAAAACTGCAGCTTGAAGTAGTGAGTTAGCGGCACTATTTCATTATCTGCTGGCTGTTCGGTGCACCGCATGCTACAAAATAGTCGTTCTGTCTTGTCCAAAGAGCTTGTTTGAAACGTGAGGGGGTCCGCGTAGGCAATGCTTGTGAGAATTCGGGAAGCGACGCAAAGATGTAGTCAGAAACTACAACTGACACTTGAAAAGGAAACTGGGGAGGCTGCGATGGAAGAAGCTGCACACATGGAGGAACTTGCCGCTTATGACACACAAGCACATGTCCTAGAAGTTCAAGCAACCTTAGAAGAACAAGCGCAATTCAACTCCACCCAGCAGCTAATCTCCGCAGCTGACAAGTATTTTCAGGAGTCTTTGGCCGCAGCGCAACTGAGAACCAAAGAATTTAAAGCCATGTCTATAAGAGAGACTGAAGAAACGAAGCAGGAAGTCGAAGCCCTCAAAAAAACACTAGATCAAGTATGTTGGAACCAGCAGAATGCCCTGAACGGAGCCAGTGAGCACAATGGAGTCCTCCTTATATGCACGTAGCAAGCGCTGTTGTGCACTTTAGTTGCAAAAGCCGTGGACCTGAAGTGACCTTCTGCAGCGACGATGACCAAGAGGTCGACTTGCGTTATTTCTGGCCTTCACAGCACTTAAGCAAAATAAGGGAAACATTCGAAAAGAGCACGGAGGATTTGAAGCTGCAGTGTGAAAGAGAGTTAAAGGTATGTCGGGGTGAGTATTTGAATGCAGCATTTACCGTTCCATATAGAGGCCAGAACACAAGGCTTTCAAGATCGCATCCAGCGTCTTAAGAATGTTTTAAAAGAACTGAGAAACAGGTGTTTTTTAATTCCCTGCATGCTGGCAACAAGGATTTCGACTTGGTGGATATTTCGAGGCTTACCTTGCATCTTTAGTGTTCCTCGCAGTGCGGCGCTTGCTGTATTCAGGAGCTCGAACAGTCTTTGGAGCTCCAGGAGCGCGTTTCTATCCACGAGGTGGAGGAGTCGAAGAACTGCCACATGAATAAACTGAAGGCATTTAACCAGGAAGCTATCAGCAAGCTGAAGGGTAGGCCGTTGTGCCACAGACTGCAGAGAACCTAATTTCTACGGCTTGCGTGGACTGGCTCAAGCAAAACTGCAACTGCTTTTCAAAACTGCTGCGACCAGGTTATTTCGAAGAGATTACTAGAGATAATCTGCAGCTGGTTAAGAAACTACGTGCTGAGAACGAACGAACAGCTGCAGATAACAAAAGGCTGAAGAAAGAAATAGACTATATGGCTGCTCAGAATGCAAAAATTCGGGAGCCTCTTCAAGAACAGGAGGCCTTAAAGTGAGAATGCCTCAGCTGAAACGAGTGCAGGACAAATCCGTCGAACAAAAATCAACACGTTGAGCAGGCTATTTGAACTTCAGCTGCCTCCCCTACACATTTTCTGCATTTCCATTTGATAAATCGTGTTGGCTTTCTGGCTGTTCTGTCCATTTGAGCATGGCACCATTTCTTAGCTAGAGAAAAGATTTCGTATTCCCCTGAAATTTGCTTCACAACTTGAAATAGTTGCGTTTCTTGGAAGCTTCTGGCACCTGTGACATTCCCTTTTGCGTTCTAGGGCTCGGCTGAAGGCGCAGCTGCGCTTTGCAGAAAAGGACAGGCTGGTTTTACGCAACCTTAAAAGGAGAAATAAAGAGGTGAAACACTTGCCAAGGAATGCAAATAGCTCGCTGGCGCAGAAGTGTTCCTCAGCATCACCCTCTGTAGGACATCGGTGCAAATGGGGTTCAGATTCAGTAGATTAGGCCAGCTTGCCTCGTGTTTTGCAGATGGAAGAAAACATAAAGAACGTTCGTTTGCAAATTCGGGAGCTGGAGCATCAAAAGAAAGTCATCGGCCGCACCATCGGGCAAATGCAGCAAAGCATCCGGCAGCTGCAAGAAGAAAACAGCGGGGCCTCAGCAGCTTATGGAGCTTTGCTGAGGCTGCAGGCGACGGAAACTCTGGCAAAACTGGAGTCGAGCTTCCGGCAGATACAGGAGTCGCAGGCTAGCGCTCACTTCCCTCCAGAAGCCTCCAAAGCCGTTTGCCAGATGATCCAGCAAGCCGTTGCAGACCACAGCTGCTGCGAGCGCGACTTAAGAAAAGAACTGCGCAGAAGCATCGACGCCTACAATGACATGGTGGCCTTCATGCGGCACCGCCTGGAAGAGCTGCGAGTGCCTCAAGTCTACATAAAGGCCGAGTTGCTGCCGCAGCCGGATGAGCCAGCAGCAGCAGGCGAGCTGGAGCCCCCAGCGGCGCCTGGGGCTTCCCATGAGCCCAGCCTTGCAGTTTCTCGCCAAACTTCTGGCCAAAGTTCGGAAGAAACGGAGGAAATGGAAGATAAAACGGATCTCGAGGGCCTCGCCGGAGGCGCAGCTCAAGAACCGGAAACAACAAACTTGAACTGCTCAGCTCACCCCGCTGGATGGCTGACTACGCAGCCCTGTGCACAAGGGGCCAACAACATCTACCTAAAAAAAGCGACACTGCAGCGATTTACAAACAACGCTGCATGCATCTCGAAATATTTCCCTTAACGCTACCTGCTCTTCGACGCAGCTTCACTGGCAAAGGTGCTTTCCTCAAGAACTGCATTAATGGCGCCGCTGCTGCTTGTGTTCACTCGTAGACTTTATATGAAACAAATCCGTTTTAGCTGCTTCTGAGACCTCAAGGCTTAGGCTGGAGTCCATATAGTGAAGTGCATGCAGAGTCACAAAGGCGAAAACCACTAATAGAAAAGGCAGAAGGCCCCGTCAAACCCTAAACAAAGCCCTTTTCCCACAACGAAAGGGAGTAGACTGCTCTGTGAAGTCTCTAGGGGCTTCAGTGAGGAGCTTTCCCTCAGAAGGAGGCCTGGGTACAGCCCCAGGGGCCCACAGGGGCCCCCTGAGGGTCACTTCACCTTCGCCCACAAAGAAGATTAAAGTGCACTTAGACTGCGCAAGGCAGCAGCACTGCAAGCTGCATAAACAGGAGACTTAAAGCTGGCTTTCGGGAGCAGGAGTGGCTGGGAGGGCTTCGCGTGCTAATTAATAATTAATTAATAAAGCCTTTCTTTGTTATGAGCCGTCACTTATATAGCCGGGCGCGCAGACCAGCCGTGGCCTTCTGTGCGAGCCTGTAGGGTCCAGCAAGCGAAGTAGCAACGGCGTGCAGGTTCAAAGTAAGCAAACCCAAATCTGCTGAAATGTTCTGCTTTCTCTCGGACTTAGGCGAATATTGCGATCTGCTGCTGCGGGAATGGCCCACCTCCCGGCCTCCCTTAGCTTAGTTTAACTCTAATAGAAAAGATATGGCTCTGCAGAGTGTCTTTCTTGCAACACAGCGAGCTGGCGGTGTGGCGGAAACTGAACAGTGGCAATGCAAGAAGTTGAACGGCGCGCGTGCCATCCCACTGCGCGTGTTGTGAGTCAATTTTGAAGACATGATGAGAGTAATTCACTTAAATTCTATTAAATGGTAATTAATTAGGTCAGTTTCATCAGAAATGCGGACAGGGCGATCAGCACAGGACGGCGACTTCGGGTAAGGTGAATCTGGCCAGGACTGCTAGCTGCTGTACCACGGCGGCTCCTGCAACGCAGTTACGCGGATCCATAAATAAATTTAATATTATTTAAAAAAGGACAAACAATAATAATATTATATTTCAAGTAGGAAGCTAACAGGGGCTGCAGCGGTACGCCGCAGGGCCCCCTATCCGCAGGCATGCAGACACTGCTGCCTTAGCCTTCTGAACAAATAAAGTCTAGTAAAGAAATGCGAAGACAGAACAGCAATTACGCATTCATTGGGATCCAAGTGGCCTCTGCAACCCTTCCTATTCCTTTTCAGTGCTGCGGAGCAGCAGCGGCTACAGCAGCAGCAGCAGCAGCAGCAGCAGCAGCAGCGCCATGTCGCTGTTCTTGTCCGGGTTTGCCCGCGCGGGGGCCCCCCTGAAAGCTGCAAAGACCCTGGGGGCCCTTGGGGCCTCCGTGAGGCCCTTTGCGAGCTACCAGGGCCAGAAAGTGACTTCTGAGCAGCTGCTGAAGAAGAACGACGAGTGGCTCATCGAGGAAACCAACTTCTGCCTTGGACGCGTTGTTGTGAGCATGCTTGCTGCTGCTGCTGCTGTTGCTGCTGTTGCTGCTGTTGCTGCTGCTGCGGCTGTTACTGCTGCTGCTGGTAGACCCCGGGCGTTGCTGGCGGTGCTGCTGTTGCTGCGGTTGCTGATGCTGCTGCGGGCCGCAGGGCCGCCGTTGTCGAGGCTGCTGCTGCAGGCGCTGCTGCTGCTGCTGCTGCTAAAGCTGCTGCTGCCGCAGCTTTGCACTGTTGGTGTGGTGGCTGCCGTTTGCTGTGTCGCCGTGCTGCTGCGTTGCTGCTGCTAGAGCAGCTGCAGCGGCTGCAGCAGTCGCTGCAGCCAGTGCGTTTCAAAGAAACGGACGACCTGGCGCACCGCGTGCTGCACCTCATGGACGCGCAGCTCGGCAAAATGCACACGAGGCTCCGCGACGGGACTTGCATTCCAGTGATGGGTCTTTACATTCCCTGCGTCATGGACAAACCCACGCCCCTCCACCAGTGCCTCGTCCGCTGCTGCTGCTGCTGCTGCTGCTGCTGCTGCTGCTGCTGCTGCTGCTGCTGCTGGGCTGCTGGTGGTGGTTGTGCTGCTGCTGTGGTGGTGGTGGTGGTGGTGGTGGTGGTGGTGGTGCTGCTGCTGCTGCTGCTGCTGCTGGGCTGCTGGTGGTGGTTGTGCTGCTGCTGCTGCTGCTGCTGCTGCTGCTGCTGCTGGGCTGTTGGTGGTGGCTGTGCTGCTGCTGCTGCTGCTGCTGCTGCTGGGCTGCTGGTGGTGGTTGTGCTGCTGCTGCTGTGGTGGTGGTGGTGGTGGTGGTGGTGCTGCTGCTGCTGCTGTTGGTGCCTCTGCTGCTGCTGCTGAGGGTGCTGGTGTTGCTGATTTCGCTGCTGCTGCCCATGCTGCTGCTGCCTTGGAGTGGCTGCCGCTGCTGCTGCTGCTGCTGTCTCGCCTCGCTGCTTCGCTTCGTAGTGCTGCTGCCTGTGGCTGCGATTTTCTTGTGTCAGCAGTTCTTTCTGCTGCTTTTCCTTTTCTCCTTCTTATATGTTGTTTATCTGCTGCTGCTGCTGCTGCTGCTGCTGCTGCTGCTGCTGCTGCTGCTTTGTCGCTGGCTCTGACCTGCAGGAAACGCCGCTTTTGAAGTACACCTGGGACGAGACGTACACTGAGGCATTTGACGAGTGAGTTCACGCTGCCTTGCAGCTAGCTAGCTAGCTAGCTAGCTAGCTGGATAGCTAGCTGGAAAGCTAGCTAGCTAGCTGGCTAGCTAGCTAGCTAGCTGGCTAGCTAGCTAGCTAGCTGGCTCGCTAGCAGGGGCTCTGCCGAGCTGGCCAACTGGCGCAATAGACCCTTTACTTGGCTCGGGCACTGCAGCGAAATGGCTAGCTAGCTAGCTAGCTAGCTAGCTAGCTAGCTAGCTAGCTAGCCAGAGGTCGACCTGACTAGCCAACAAGGAAGCTGGCTAGCTAGCTAGCGAAGGGTCTAGCTGACTGGCACGCATGCTAGCTAGTTAACGAGCTAGCTAGCCAAGGGTTGAAACTGCCAGCTAGCTAGCTAGCTAGCTAGCCAGCTAGCTGGCCGACCGTCTCACCGGGGCCAGCAAACCAATTTGCCCATGGGCCCCAGCGGAAGAGTGCTGCGGATAACTGGCGACTAGCTGCTGCTGTTGCAGCAGCAGCAGCTGCTGTTATTTCTGCTGCAGCTGCTTCAGCTGCTGCTCCGCAGCGCTGGCGCAGCTGGCCTTGGCTAGCTAGCTAGCCACAGCTACTACTCAGTAGCGAGAGCTAACAGGGAACAGCTAGCTGGCTAGCTCTGCTGCTGCGCTGAAGTGAATTGCCAAAGACTGCTGCTGGCTAGGCAGCCATCGAGGAAGCAAAGTGGCTAGCTAGCTAGCTAGCGAAGTTACTAGACAGCCGCCAGGCTAGCTAGCTAGTTGGCTAGCTAACTAGCTGGCTAGCTAGCTAGCTAGCTAGCTAGCTGAGGGCGAGTTTAATTGGCGGCAGCCTCGCCGCGTGTTCAACAAGAGGGAGCCGCCGGCCTGCCTTCAGGTGTCGGCGTAGGTAACTAGCTAGCTAGCTAGCTAGCTAGCTAGCCAGCTAGCTAGCTAGCTAGCTATTTATCTAGCTGAGTGGCTACGTAACAAGGTAGCCAGCTAGCTAGCTGCCAGCTAGCTAGCTAGCTAGCTGTCACTGGTGCTGAAGGCGTCGGAGCATCGCCTGGGCCTGGGCTAGCTGGGTTGGCTGCAAGGGAGGCAGCTGCTGCTGCCGCCGCTGCTGCAGCAAGTTTTGCTGCCGCTGCTGCTGCGCTGCAGCATCTGGCTCCAGGTCACTTTGCTCAGTAGGAGCATCGCTCCAAGCTTCTTCTGTTGCTGCGTCTGTCTCTACCTCAGCAGCAGGTGCTGTTCTTGCTGCTGCTGCTGCTGCTGCTGCTGCTGCTGTTGCTGCCGTGTTGTGGCTGTCGTCGTCTGTATCGGAGCCGCTGACGAAGCTGCTGTTGCTGCTGCTGTGGGACAGGGGGGGCCTTCTGCTGCTGTTGCTGCTGGGCCCAGTGCCAGCTCCGCGCTGCAACAGCTGCTGCTGCTGCTGCTGCTGCCCGAGACTGTATCTGCTGCTGCTGCTGCTGTAGCCCCTGCCAGCTGCTGTGGCTGCTGTCGCGCTTCTGCTGCGAGAGCAAGCAGCTGCAGCCGTCTCTGCTGCCCCAGTGGCAGGCCTCGGAGGAGTCGGCCATGTTGTCTTGCTGCTGCTGCTGCTGCTGCTGCTGCTGCTGCTGCTGCCCTTTAGGCCCGAATCAAATCCACGAGATGAAGCAGCTGCAGCTGTGGCTGCTGCGCTCGCAGTTCGCTGCAGTGTCGATGGACCTGCTGTTCTTGGAGCCCTCGGGAAGCGGGGCTGCTGCGGCTGTTGCTGCTGCTGCTGCTGCTGCTGCTGCTGCTG